GGTCTCAAACTCGCAGAGATCCGCCTGCCTCTGCCTCCCTAGTGCTGGGATTAAAGGCGTGTGCCACCATCGCCCAGCTGACTTTTTTTTATTGATTTTTATTGCACTCTACATTCTTCTCTGCCCCCTCCCTGCCTCTCCCTTCCCTTATAGCCCTTCCCCAAGGTCCCCATGCTCCCAATTTACTCAGGAGATCTTGTGTTTTTCTACTTCCCATTTAGATTAGATCTATGTATGTCTCTCTTAGGGTCCTCATTGTTGTCTAGGTTCTCTGGGATTGTGATTTGTGGACTGGTTTTCTTTGCTTTATGTTTAAAAACCACCCATGAGTGAGTATATGTGATAATTTTCTTTCTGTGTCTGGGTTACCTCACTCAAAATGATGTTTTCTAGCTTTATCCATTTTCCTGCAAAATTCGAGATGTCGTTTTTTTGTTTGTTTGTTTTGCTGCTGTGTAGTACTCCATTGTGTAAATGTACCACATTTTCCTTATCCATTCTTCGGACAAGGGGAATTTAGGTTGTTTCCAGGTTCTGGCTATGACAAACAATGCTGCTATGAACATGGTTGAGCACATGTCCTTGTGGTACAATTGAGACTCCTTTGGCATTTATCATTTTAAAAATAAAACATTTATTATTTTAAAAATAAATGTTCCAAACCGTCCAGAGAGATGGCTCAGTAGTTAGGAGTGCTCATTGCCTGATTGCCCTTCCTTCCCTCCTTCCAGAGGTCCTGAGTTCGATTCTGGCTCCCACATGGAGCTCGTGGCCATCCGTCTTGAGCTCTGGCGCCCTCTTGTGGGGAAAAAACACAAAACTTTGGGGCTGGAGAGATGGCTCAGTGGTTAAAAGCACACTGTCTGCTCTTCCAGAGGTCCTGAGTTGGTGGCTCCAAACCATCTGTAATGAGATCTGGCACCCTCCTCTGGCATGTGGGTATACATGGAGGCAGAAAGTTGTATACATAATAAATAAATAAATAAATCTTTAAATAAATGCTCCAGGCCAGGTGGTGGTTATAGCACTCATCTCAGGAGGCAGAGGTAGGTGGATCTCTGAGTTTGAGGCCATCCTAGTCTGCAAAATGAGCTCCAGACAGCTAGGGCTATACAGAGAAACGCTGTCTCAAAATAAAATAAAATAAAACAAAACAAAAATAAAATGTTCCTAAGAGCAGAACAAGCTCTAGCTTCATAGCAGGCCACTCCAAGCCAGGCCAGAGAGGCAGCTGCACATTCCTCAGAGCCTGGGCAGAGAGCCCAGGCAGAGCAGCCAGAAAGGAAGGAGGAAGCACCCAGTTCTGGTGGCTCGTGAACATAAAGGTCTAGGGAGAAGGACAGGGACCCCTAAGTGGCTTCTGGTGCGAGAGGGATTGAGAAGAGGGAACTAGGGTGGAACGGAGCCCCCAGTCAGCAACTGTGGCACTTTGGAAACCTCACCTGGCGTAAGAGAAAATAGGAAGGTGGGCAGTCAATCTTAGGGCGAGGAAACAAGGGAGAGCGAAGAAAATGGGAAGTGAGGGAAGGAGGGAGAGGGCTCTGGAATCTCCTGGGATTTAGGAGGAGCCTGCTTTTCCTAAACCCTCCCAGAGTTTGACCTACTTGTAGTTACCCAGGAAACTCAATAACCTCAGTGACATTCCAATCAACTTGACAGAATCTATTACCACTTAGGAGGTGGGCCTTTGGGAATGCCTGTGGGAGATAATCCTGATTGACGTGGATAGACTCGACATGATTGTGGGTGGGACCTTTCCTAAGCTTGGGATGCTGGACTGTGCAAAGGAAGCCATCTGAACACTCGCAGGTTCTTTCTTCGGACTGCAGACGCGTGACCAGCTGCTTCAATTTCCTGTGGCCTTGACCTCCCCACCTTGAGGGACTGTTCTTTGAACTGTGAGCTAAAATAAACTCTAAGGTTGCTTTGTTCAGTGTATTTTATCAGAGCGACAGAAACAGTAAGCGAGCCCTTCAAAGTGCCCATCGCTGGTCTGCAGGATGCCTGAAAGAGATGGGCTTTCTTTCTCAGTTACTTTCCTATTGCGGTGAAGAGACACCACAACCAAGAAAACTTTCAGGAGCGACTGAGACTTACAGTTTCAGAGGGTTAGAGTCCATGACTATTGTGGTTGGGGAATATTGTTTTAACTAGGCAAAGATGTGTTACAATTGTTTATGCTGCGGAATATTACTCTAATGATGTGAGGATTATTACACTTGTCTGTGCTGTAAAGATGTGGTGCATTTGTGTTAATTAATTAAGATCAACCTGGGCTCAGAGAGGCAGAATTCGCAACTGGCTGACAGGAAGTAGCAGGGAGGAGCTTAGTGTGGGTTTTTTTAGTTGGGGCATCGTGGAAGGGAGTGACTTCCAGAGGCACTAGCAAAGAGAGAAAGTTAGCCAGTTGCTATTCCAATTCTCTGAGCTTGCAGGTTTTCACCCTAGCCTTTGAATCTTGAGTTTTATTAGAATGATAGAGATTTAGTTAGAACTATCTTTAGTAACAGCGATAGATTCATTGTCAGAGGGAACAGAATTCCTCCCATGTAGCACAAATTCTAATTGATTTTAATAATAAAAACTTAGAGTCAGATATAAGGGTTAATGCTGAAGATTAGAGAAGCAGAGCAGCCAACCAATAGAGTTCTTACCTCTACCAATGCTCAAAGCAAAGGGACGATCCTGTCTCTACAAATCCTCAGACTGCATTCTCAGACTGCCCTGGGCTTCTGTCTCCTGCCTTATATTCCTCTCTCTGCCCAGCCATATCCCTTCCTATTTCCATGTCCACTGCCAGTGACACACCTCCTCTAACAAGGCCACACCCTCTAATCCTTCCCAAATGGCCCCACCTACTGGAGACTGAGTGTATAAACATGTGAACCCACTGGAGTCTATTCTCATTCAAGCCACCACCGCACCCAGGCACACACAATGCCCTCCCCAGGTAAGACCCCACTATATTTTTAGTATCTTTGGACCCTAGGTGTGGGGCTTCCTATGGACAGCTCAGGCAACCACAGCCAAGGACAAAGGAGTAGTCACCATGCAATAGCCACACCAGAGGACAGCAGGGTCATTCCCAACTCAACTCACAGGACTGTCACTACCAACAGTCACACCCCAGTGCTCACAGTAGACAGGAGGATAACAACAAAATGAACTGAAGGGAAGAATGCCTGGGCTGGTGTCTGCAAACTGGAATGATCACAAGACAGAGCACCCGTGGGGTAACAGGGCCACTGCAGCAGGGCCACCTCTCCAGCCCCCAAACTAGTTTTTCTTTAACTACTTATTCTTGTTGAGTTTTTTATTTTCCTTTCAGAACGTGTAGCCAAGGCTAGCCTGGAACTCCCCAAGATGATGGAAATCGTCAATGATGATGCCAGTTGTCAGTGATGGAAACGTTGTGCCCAGGAGCAGGTCATCTTGTAGGAATCATGTCTGGACAGTAGGACCAATATGTAACAATTTATTGGGGAACCTTGCAAGGCTCCAGCTGAGACCATGGGAGATGGGATCGCACCTTGACCAAGACAGCCTAACTTGCCCCCTTGCCCCCCTTGCATCCCTCTTGCCCCCCACCTGTTTCATAAGCCTCCTTTATACTCTTTCCAATGTGGCCATGCCCCTGCTTTTCATTACCACTGTCCCTTTAATTGGCATGTGGGAACAGTGGCTGAGCCTGACCTGTCAGGCCTGCTGAAGCAGGGCTTTTGCCCTGAAGCTTTGATTGCAAGCAGCTGACAATTGAAAAATGCCCATGCCATGCACTAGTGCACATAAACACGCACCTGATGCTTTAATCTAAACACTCACACACCAACCAAGCTATAATAATGGCAGCTTTGTTTTCTCAAATGTCATTTATTAGAAAATACAACTCCAGAGAAAGTAGAAGATACAGGGGACGTGGGAAGTGGGTACAGTACATAGACCTCTTTAAGTCAGGGGCATAAAGGGTCAGAATAAAAAGAACTACAGGCAAAAAGCCAGTAGCTCATCTATGGTCCAAACACCTGGAAGGTTCTACTGCTTTCCCTCTCCAGTCTCCCACCTTTCGCAGCCCGATTTATCCTTGGCATTTTTAAATTATCTTATTTATGTGTATTTGTGGGAGAGATGGGCATGATGTGTGATTTATCTGGAAGCCAAAGAACAACCTTGTGGAAGTTGGTTTTCTCCGGCCATCTCGAAGGTCTCAGTGATCAAACTTAAGTTGACAAGGCAAATGCCCCCATTCGCTGAGCCATCTCACTGGCCTGGCATTCCTAATTAGCGAGGAAGTGCCCTTACCCACTGACCTGGCAATTCTAATTAAGGAAAAAAAAATGAACGGACGTGGTGGCTCATGCCTGTCATCTTAGCACCTGGGTGGTTGAAGGCAAGTAGATCAAGGTTATCTTCATCTCTATAAAAGCATGAGGCCAACCTGGGCTATATGATACCCTTGCTCATAAACAAGACAAACAGAACCTTTCTTGCTTCCATGCGGCTTCAGTGAATGGAGCTTTTCGCTCTCCAGTAAGAGGGTCACAGAGAAACCGCTCATGGCAGCCTTGCTAGCCCTTCTCTCTCATCAGCTAACTCCTGTTTAAGAAGTTAATCACCTTTAATCCCAGCCCTACAGAGGCAGGGGCAGGCAGATCTCTATGAGTTCAAGCCAACCTAGTCTAGTCTACACAGTGAGACCTTGTCTCAAAAAAACAAAAACGGTAAATTGAGTCCCTATCCCTCTCTTTTTAAATATGACAACTCCTCGGAGAGAAACTCAAGTGGATTTTAAATTCATCTGGTACAGAATAAGGGTACGAGGCTGGGGATGCAGCTTGGGGGTCGAGTGCTTGCTCAGCACTCAAAGGGCCCTGGGTTCAATCCCTAGCACCATATAAGAAGGATGTGTTGAAATAATTTTTTGTTTTCTTTTTCTTTTTTAAGTAATTTATTTTGTTTCATGTGCATTGGTGTTTCACCTGCATGTATGTCTGTGTGAGGGTGTCAGGTCCCCTGGAACTGGAGCTACAGTCAGTTGTAAGCTGCCCTGCGGGTGCTGGGAATTGAACCCAGGTCCTCTGGAAGAGCAGCCAGTGCTCTTAACCGCTGAGCCATCTCTCCAGCCACTGTTTGTTTCCTAAGAGTATGCTGTTCCAGGCCAGTCGCCTTCTGGCCAGGAAGAAGCCAGAAAGAACAACGGCATTGACCAGTCTTCATTCTTCCCAGCCCCCTTCGCTGTGGACAGGGTACCCTCTGTCTACACGCTAAACAGCTTTGTGGCCCTACACAATGAAATCCCTTTTGAAGTGTGAGAGAAACAGGGTTTGGGAGAGAAAGTAGTAGAAGGTCTCAGGGAACATATTCCAGAAACTATGCAGCAAGTGGCCACAACGCACCCACCCTCCACAGGCATGGCCCGGAGCTAAGGGTCGGCAGCATTCTGTCCCATCAAACAAGATGGGGCATAGGAGCACCCCAGTGTATTCACCAGGACCCGCAGAGGGCTGCGAGATCAGAGGGGCAAAGGGGAGAGGAAGACATCAGAGTCAAATCCAACCATCAGGGGAAGAAGAGAGGAAAATTCTGCCCTAAAGAGCATGGGTTCCTGAACACAGGTCCTTGGCGGAACCCTGACACGGAAGGCCCTTCCTTACACACGTAGGTATCACACTGCTCTCCTTTGGAGGCAAAATCAGACAGCCCAGGGAGGGCCTCAGCCCAGCAGTCAGTGAGTCCTCCCCACCCTTCCCCAGTGTGCCTGAGAGGGGGAGGGCTTCACCGAGGACCTACCAGGCCCCTCCCCAACATTTCCTATAGCTAGAAAACAAAACCCAAAAAGTCCTGGGAAAAAGTCCAATAAGAACTTTCATCATACAAAAAACCCAAATAGTCTTCTCTTGCCGTCTGAGGCATGGTACGCCCCTCTCAAGGCTTCCTGTCCCAGCTAGGACAACATTACTATTTCATTTTTTAAAAATTAAAATAAAATATCCACCCACCCTCCCCCAAGTGCTACTTCATATAGCTCGCGCTCCACACACCCCAAAGCAGGCATTGCTCCCTTGACACAAGGTAAACTTAAGACTCTGCTGCGACCCACAGCTTCCGAGGGCCCGTTCCCCACAACCAACCCAAGTGCAGTCCGCCGAGGAAGGGGCAACGCAGAGCGCCGGACTCTCCCAGCCCCTCACTGAGGTCAGGTCCACCTGGACCATGGGGAAGGCCACCGAGGGCTGCACCCCTTCCTAGCAAAGGAGTCAGGCCAGGCAGGGGAGTCATTCTCCCCCAGCTCTGGGCAGCAGCTGCAGGCCTGGGCCATGACTGGGCTCATAAAGTTCCATGACCTCGAGATCCCAGTGCGAACCAGCCAGTCTTCTCCTGGGCCAGGTCCAGCTCCCGAAGGCGAATGTGCACCTCCCCAAGGAGCACGTTCTCCCAAAATCCTTGCTCACTTAGCACGCTCAGCTGGAGCTCCCGCTGCTGTAGGTCTCCCTTGGGGATCCCATCATACACCAACTGCAAACATGGGCATTGGGAAAAGAGGGAGACTGTGAGACAGGGCAGGGTAATCTGCAGGGAAGTGATACAAGGTAGGGTGATCCACCAGGAAGTCAGAGAAGATGACCAGTCCCTGGGGTTCATTCGTTCTCTCTCTCTCTCTCTCTCTCTCCCTCTCTCTCTCTCTCTTTCTCTCTCTCTCCCCCACCCTCCCTCCCTTCTTTCCTTTTCTCCCTCCCTTTCTTTGTTTTTTCAAGACAGGGTTTCTCTGTGTAGTCCTGGCTGTCCTGGAACTCACTCTATAGACCAGGCCTTGAACTCATGGAGATCTCCCTGCCTCTGCCTCCCAAATGCTGGGATTATATTTACTGGAGTCTGTCATCCTCCATGCCACACCAACCCCAGTAGAGTCTGTGTGACAAGTTCCACAGATTGAGGCGAAAACTTCAGAAGGAGGAGGCCTCCTGGAACCGGTTGTGAAGCTCTTGGCTAGAGCGAAATATCGAGCAGAAGTTCTCATGGCAATCTATCTGTTTTATCTTCTTCTATTCCCTTTCCATATTTACAAGATGTTCCTGATAGCCCAGGCTGAGATTTTAAGTGAGAAATATGGATAAGAAACCATCCCTTGAGATTAGATCACTACCTATGACCTTATCTCCGGAATAACCAGTGCTTTACTTCATAAATCATTTATAAAAATTATAAAATAGTATAATGATAACTTTCCCAATGATAAAATTTCATGTGGCTGTATGTACATCATCGGAAGTGGGCTTAGATATATAGTAAAGAAAGCCTTGGGCTGGAGAGATGACTCAGTGGTTAAGAGCATCGCCTGCTCTTCCAAAGGTCCTGAGTTCAATTCCCAGCAACCACATGGTGGCTCACAACCATCTGTAATGAGGTCTGGTGCCCTCTTCTGGCCTGTAGACATACACACAGACAGAATATTGTATACATAATAAATAAATAAATATTTTTTTAAAAAAGCCTTAAATAAAAGATCAATAGTTTAAAATTATACCTTGAAGATTTACAAAAACTAGATACTAGTTGTTAAACAATGACCAACCATAAACATTTATTAACCTGATTTTGGAAATGTGCCGTTAGCCTCTGATGCTTCTGTGCTTTACTGTGCCAAATGACAATGATGTCATCTGTCCTAGCCGTGATTGCTTCACTAAACACATCTTTTAAGAATTTTAACACTTGTCTCATTATGTATAAAAATCTTTGCTTGAAGGCTGTAAAATACACTCAGATTCAAACTACCTCTGCATTAGTTTCTGTCTGTCACCTCCAAATCCTTACCTACCTAGCCTTTGAGGACCCCTGTCCCAGGGACCCCCATAGCTGACTGGGGTGGTCCGTGGCAACTCCATATAGGTCAGAAAGCTCCCGTCCTCACATATGAGGGCCCAGATCCCACCTTGAGGATCATAATCCCCAGGGTTTGAGAGTTTTTATATAGAGGGGAAGGTGGTCCACTGTGTTTGGCTTTATAACATGTGGGGGTGCCATCAAACACCTCACTAGTCCAGAGCACTTGCTGTCGGCCTGGAGAGATGGCTCAGCAGCTATGAGCAGTGGTTGTTGCCCAACACAGTGGCGCACACCTTTAATCCCAGTACTCGGGAGGCAAAAGCAGGCAGATCAGTGTGAGTTCAAGGCCAGCCTGGTCTACAAAATGACTTTCAGGACAGCCAGAGATGTGATATAGAGAAACCCTGTCTTGAAAAACAAAAACAAAAACAAAAAAACCCCTCAGCACCCACATAGCAGCTCACAACTGTCTATAACTCAAGTTTCAGTGGATCCAATACCCTCATACAGACATACATGCAGCCCAAACATCAATGTACATTAAAAAAAAATGTTTTTGCTGTCTGGAAGCTCAAAATCACCTATAACTCTAGCTCTAGGGGATCAGACTCAATCTTCTGGGACTCATGGGCACATTTACACACAAATAAAATGAGTATTAAAAAAGTACAGTCCATACCAAAATTCTCAAGGCCACCACTGAACAAAAAAGCAGTAACAGCATCTAAATCAGCAAGTATGACTTGCTCCAATACAACTAAGTTTATAAGAACCGACAGTCTGTTGCCAGGTGTTGTGTGGCTCACGCCTAAAATCCCAGCACTCAGAGGTGGGGGCAGGAGGGTCAGGAATTCGAGGCCAGCCTTGGTGATATATGGAGTTTGAGTCTCAAAAAAAACCAAAACAAATAACTAAAGAAGAGGTTTGCCAGCCCCTGCGCTACCCTGTCTGTCTACCCAACCGGCCCCCCTCGACCCCATTTTCCACACACCATCTCATTGTAGGTAGGGTTGCAGGTTTTCCGAGCCACTTTGGTTTTCCTCTTTGTGGTCTTCTGAGGGTCAGGAAGGAGGTAAATCTTTACATAGGGGTCAGGGTCGTTCCCATCCTGGAGCGGCTGCTATAACAGGATGAAACAGAAGATGAAGATCCAATAGTATCTCCCACTTCCCAGTCATCCCTGAAGCCACACTCTGATCTAGATTCTCTCGCCTTCACCCTTTGGCTTGGTGTACGGCACACCCAATCTTTTAAATTTGCTTTCCAGCTCATTACATGCTGATAAAAAGATCTACCATGATTACATTAAACATACACACAAATAATTTTTCAGTTTTGGTTTTTTTGAGACAGGGCTCTACATAGTCCTGGCTGTCCTGGAGCTCACTATATAGATCAGGCTGAACTTAAACTCACAGAGATTATCCACCTGCCTCTGCCTCCTGAGTGCTGAGATTAAAGGAAGGAATGTATCGCTATGTGTGGCTTGTAATATGGTTTTAATGAACCATCAAGTCACCAGGCATCTCCTCTCCACGATGTTTGGTTATTTGGTACCTTGTAAGTGCTATCAGGTAGAGGCGTGAGTCAGAGAGAAGAGGCGGCTTGCTCAGGGCCCACTGATGACTGATTCAGTCAGGCTGACCCTGCTCTAGTTTTTGTTTTTAGAGCCTGGGTCCAACCATCCCATGGTCTCCAAACTCATTCTTAGGTCAAAACCAAGAGCAGCATTTCATGTCCCAGCACTTGGGAAGCTGAGTCAGGAGGATTGCCTTGTGTTCAAAGCCAACTAGGCTATCTATTGAGTTCCAGTTCCAGACTAGCTTGGGCTAGATTGAGAACCTGTCTTATAAAAATAAATAAATTTAAAAATCCATCCCCTGATATTTGATTCAGAACACAGCACATTTACCCAAAGACCTCTAGGGATGGAAGTCAGAGCCTTGCTATGCTCCCTTCTGCTCCTCCGCCCTCCACTCTAGGCTGCAGCTAGCTAACAATAACTAAGCAGTTTCTGATAACCCCACACAGGCTGTTAGACCTGACTGCTCCCTGCTTCCCCACATCTGAAGCAATCTCCTCTCAGATTTACACAAGGGGCTTCCTCCCTCCCTTCCTTGGGTCTTTGAACAGATCTCATCACTGAGGCCTTCTCTACCCCTTAATGCAAACGCCAGCCTCGTCCTTTCTCCCGGACTCCTCTGCTTTATCTCTTGTACGGTTCCCAACCCACTGACACACCATATATTGTCCTTGTCTATTCTAAGGTCTGCCCTTTCTAAGTAGACTACAGGCGCCCTGGGCACAGCTGTGTTTTGACTTCTCCTGTATCAAGGGCTAATGTATTATTAGGCACTAGATAAGATTTGTTGAATGAATGAGTGATAATGTGAATATGAAACCAAGTTTTTTCAGGTTTTTTTTTTTTTTTTTGAGACAGGGTTTCTCCGTGTAGCTTTGGAGCTTGTCCCGGAACTTGCTCTGTAGACCAGGCTGGCCTCAAACTTGCAGAGATCCACCTGCCTCTCCCTCCCGAATGCTGGGATTAAAGGCGTGCACCACCACTGCTTGGCAAAACAAGTTTTCTTTGACTTCAAAGTACGTGCTTCTGCTATGACTTGGTTGGTGTTCCAAACTTCAAAATAAACAACATCAGACGCTACACATTGTAAATGTTCAATAAATGTTCCTTTCCCCTTCATGATGATCTTAGAACCTGTGCCAAAATTAATTATATACTGCCTTGAATATGCCCGAAGGAAGTCCAGTGGCTGCCCTGTCTAGACTCACCTTTCTATCTTTATCTATTACTATAACCAGGTAGCAAATGCCCTAGGCCTCTCTTTTATAAAACCAGAATTACCATAGCAACACTACTACTCAGAAAGGCAAGTGCATCCCATAGATTATCTCGGTTCATCCCCACAGCAACCCCTGGAGGGAGTTGGTCCAGCATCTTATAAAGAGGCTCACGGTACTCAGGATACCGCCACATAGACCACAGCAAGCAAGCAGCTGTGTCTTGAATCGCCTGGTCAACCGCAGGCCTGGCGTGGGCAGCCTGTGGTGGAGACTCAGTAAACATCTGTGGTTACTCTCGTTATCCGGGAGCAGAGAACTGACTCACCCAGAAGCTACCAGCAGAAAGATGACGGACCCAGTGAGGGCTGGGCCTGCACTTACCAAGCCCCGAATATGCATCACCATGATGAAGAGTTTGTTGTTCTTATAGGAGATGGACAGCTTCACCTCCCCACCGACCTTCCCAACGGGCCGGGCCCAAGTCCCATCTGTAGGGATAAAAGAAACTGAAAAAGATCCATACTCCAGAAGTGCCCCTGACTGGTGCCAGGCAGACATTTCTACTTCCTTCCTGAAGTCCTGCCCCAACCTGTCAGGTTTCTGACACTTATGTGGGCTGGAATGCAATGGAGAGCTGGGTTGGGATGAGTGTGCCCAGTCTGAGGGGAGTAATCACTAAATAAATATCCTTCCCCTAGGGACCCCAGCCACAGATCTGTGGACACCACAGCCCGAATGGAAAACCAGAGTCCTCAGCAAGTAAGCAACTGAACACGAAAGGAAGCTGACAAAGAGGTGGGGGATGTATTCTGGCAGGACCGCCACCAGGAAGGAACTGTACCTGAGGACTTTGGAACTGAGCTGGGGCCTGAAGCCTTCTCATCCCGGGGCAGGGGGTGGAAGAAGGTATATACCAGATCACACTGGAACAGATCAGAAAACAGGAGCCACTCTTCAGTAAGACATGGCCCAGGAAGGGTTCATTTTATTTACACACACACACACACACACACACACACACACACACACACACCACACATACATTTTTGCCTTTTTTTTTTTTAAGAGAAAAGAGCCAAGGCTGAACAGATGGCTCGGGGTGAAGAGCACTTGGACCTGGGTTCAATTCTCAGCACCCACATGGACGGTCACAACTGCTGTAGCCCCTGTTCCTGGGGACATGACACCCTCACACAGACAGACATGCAGGCAAAATGCAAATGCACACAAAATAAAGTAATTAAAAAAAGAAAGAAAGAAAAATAGCCAATAGTTGGGTGGGTAGGGAACAAATCCCTGTATGCTCAACATTCAAGAAACAAAAGGAAGAAGATGGTTACAAGTTCAAGGCTAGCCTGGTCTCCAAAGTGAGTCCTTAGTGAGAGTGAGAGCACATCTCAAAAACCAAAGTGAACAAATAAATAAATAAAGCCAGGCCACTGCAGATCAAAAGCAGTCTGTTCTAGTCTACTCCAGCCTTCTCCATTCACCTATCAACACACCAGCTCGGGGAGACGACTGAGCTAGCCTGGGGCTGAAACACAAGCCTGTCTCTGGAGAATGTTTTTAATAAGCACAGGAAATGAAAACAAAGCCCAGGCCTGAGGCTGGTCCACCATGGGCCTGTGCTTGCTCAACCTCAGTAGGGCCAGGCACTCACTGGTCATTCTCCAGACCCCTGATGGCTTCCCCAGGACTCAGGTCCCCTCCTCTCACATCCCCCGGGCCACTCACTCACCTCAGCCACCTCCGGGGCTGCATGAATCAAGTGCCAAATGTAGCCATTTAGCTCCTCCCTCCGCCGCTCGGCCACTGCCTCTCCCCGGGAGCGGCCAATCACAAAGCGACTAGGGAAGCTGGATTGACAGGCAAACAAGGGACACAGGGATGGGGGAGAGGATTTGAAGATTTTAGATTTCATTTGTATTTCTATTTACCTGATCCTCTTTTCCTAGCTGCTTCTCTTCTGGGTCACCCTTGCCTCCATGACTGTTACCAGACCTCGCAGTCTGTGCCTGTATTGGTCCGTTTCTGTCTCTCTCTCTTTCTACACACACACACACACACACACACACACACACACACACACACATTTTTCCTGGGACCCCAGACATTTCCAGCATTTTAATCATCAAGCATTTAAAGACTTCTGGGTACGGTTCTGTGGCATCGAGTACAGTCACCGTCTGCATAAACATCACCAGAAGCTAGCTAGGTCTAGAACTCTTCATCCTGCGGAACTAAACCTCTTGAACCTCAACCACTGAGTCTGCATTCAGTCTCCAGGGCCTGACTGTTCTGGGGAAATCCAATAAGTAGGATCATGGCGTTTTTATCTCCTCGTGACTGGCATATTTCATTCAGGCTCATTCTTGCTGTAGGTGTCAAAGGTCCTTCCCTTCTAAGTCTGAATGTGTATGTCACACTTTGTCCATTAGGAAAAAATACTACAATTCTTTGATAAATTATAAACTCTAAGTCATGATCGGCTTCACCCAGTGCCCCTGCTTTCAGCTCAGCTGGCTTGCTTTCTGGCGAGTGCCCCCATGTTTAATTTTTTTCTCCCCAAGGCTAGAGCAAGGCTGTTGGGCTATCTGGCGATAACAGCCAGCAGGGGGCGCTCCTGTCACCAACCCCACTCCCAGGCAGGGTAAAGCTGGTAGATCCTCAACTTCAAAGGGTTCTTTCTGAAAGACGTCCTAGCTTCAACCCCATCCCTCCCCCATCTCTTTCAGTTCAAGAGGATTGGGAGTTGCGGGGGGGGGGGGGGGGTGGCTACCTGGGCAGGAGAGAAGATGGGAAGAGCAGGCGCAGCTTGTTGTGCAGTTCCTGGAACTCTTCAAACGTCCTCTGGATGTACGTTGCCTCATGAGCGTTCTCCCGCATCACCTTCACCACATAAATCTGCAAAGCCGAAACTCAGAGTACACCTGCCTGCCCACCTGCCCACCAGGGGACGGGAGGGGGAGTAGAAGTGCGTGCGTGCGTGTGTGCGTGCGCGCGTGCGTGCCTCCGTGTGTGCCTCCGTGTGTGCGTGCGCGGTACTTTCCGGAAGGAAAAAGACCTCGGAAGAGTCTCCAGTGGAGAAAAGAGGTAGGCTGCACACAGGCGGGAACCTGAAAGCAGAGACTTCCTCCCTGTGTCTCTCAGAACTACAAACCAGTTCAGCTTCCCGAGTCTATGCAGGTCACTTAAGTGAGGGAACAGGCCTGTCTGGATTATTCCCAGTGCCAGAGCCTTGGTAAACTCCAGAGCACACTGTGCAGGTATGGAAAAAAGGTTAACCCCAAGAAGATGGGTGGACAGAAAGCAACAAAAAGGAGCAAACACTTACATAGCCCTTGCTGGGGTGGAAGATCTTCTCGTGACGGCAGAGGAAGACATCAGTGATGCGCCCAGAGCTCTTGAGAGTGTGTGTTCGGGGTGCAAAGGAAAGGGTTAGCCGGTCATCTGAGCCTGTGAATTTCATCTGAGCCAGGTTGTGAATGAAAAAGTTGAGTTTCGTGGCGACGCTACCCAGACTGGACTCAATCAATCTGTGTAGAAGGGGAAACCAAGGATGTAGCCATGGACCCATCCTTCCTGTGCTGTGATAGCTATCCAACCAGATATTGCCAAAGTCCTGAGATTTGTGGGGGAGGGAGGATGGGGTGGGAGTAGACAAGATTTCAATATGTAGCCCAGGCTGGCCTCAAATTCATGGTGATCCTCCTGTCTCAGCTTCCTAAGTACTAGAATTACAGGTGTGGGCTACCATGCCCAGGCCTGAGTTTAAATTAGCCACCAGGGCTGGAGAGATGGCTCAGAGGTTAGGAGCACTGCCTGTTCTTCCAAAGGCCCTGAGTTCAATTCCCAGCAACCACATGGTGGCTCACAACCATCTGTAATGAGATCTGGTGCAGAATACAGTATATATGATAAATAAATAAATCTTTAAAAAAAATTAGCCACCAGATCAACTATGTTCCCAATGTCATAGTGTAACAGAGTACATGATTGACACAATTATCTTATGGAATTTGTGAATCCTGAGTTCTTATTCCTCCTGCCAAAGACACTCAAAACAAGGTAGGCGGGAACTCGGGATGGTCAGTGTCTTAAGTACTAACAATGGAATCCCAGGGCCACACCAAGCACTGCTCAAAAAGACTAACTTCTAAGTGATGTCTGGTTGAAGGGGAAGGGTCTGACCAAAAGAGTTAAAATATATCATAAATTGGGTGTGCATCCACACTCCATTAGTCCCAGCACAGGCAGGTGGATCTTTGAGCTCTTCCAAGGCTAGCCTGGTCTATAGAACAAATTCTAGGACAGCCAGGGCTACACAGAAAGACCCTATCTTGGAAAACCGTAAATAAATAAAAATAAATAAATAGAACCTATTATAAAATCGAGCTTCCCCATTGCCTCCTGGACCAAGTCTCTGGTTGGGTTCTGGTAGGAACCCAGATAACAGCCAGGCAGTGGTGGCATGCACTGGTCTGTGCTGTGTGTTACCTTGTGAAGTAGGTGGTGGCATTGGCCTCTGAGTCCTGAGGCCTCAGGGCATCATACACATACTTGAGGTCCTCCAGGTCGGAGAGCTCGGGGATTCCACAGGACAGCATCTAGAAAGGAAGGCTGCCTGTAACAAGAGCCAAGCCTGGCTTTCTTTTTGCCTGAGACAAGGTTTTCTGTACTCAGCGCCATGATCCTTCGGGGGCAGTGGTTAGCGGGCCACAGGCACTGAAAGGCTACATAAGGGGTCAGGCATCACTGTTTCTAGTCATTGGGTCTCTGCCTTTCAGGAAGACAGATGCCACAATTGGGAGAAGTGGATCTTCAGGAATCCTCGGGAACAATCTGGGGCAGACTTAAAGATGGAGCCAGGTAATAAGAAGGAAAGTCATAAAGAGATGAACTCCTTACCAGGCCCAGAAGGTTGAGGAAGAGGTGGGTGTGCTTGCGAATGAGGTTGTAGGCTTGGCAGCAAAGGTCAACAAAATCATGGAAGCGGCTGGAAGGCTTGTCACCCCCGTTGATGACGTATGCCATGTCCGAGGTGAACACAAAGGGGGCACGGTCCCTGGGCCAAGGGAGCATAGAGGTAGAGATAGTCAATATGAAGACGGAAGGCCACTTTGTAAGCTCCACCAGGGGCTGTTTTCCTTCAACCCTCATGATGCCTTCTGACCTGGGAGCTAGTAACACCTTCTCCCAGCTACCCAACTTCGTTCCTGATGAAGCTCAGTCCTCAGCCCCAGGTCTTGTGATCAGCTGATCCTCACCTTCCACAAGCTCTGCACAAACTTGAGCTCCTGATCAGTCTCCTCTCCTTCAGAGCTGCTCGCTCAGGGTCAGGGCTCTGAGGGTCCACTTGCTTCTCGTGCCCCAGCTATGAACCACTCTTGCCCGCCACGCAGGAGCCCACCTACCTCTTGATATTGCCAAACATCTGCGCGTGGCCCAGGAAGCGGCCGAAATCTATGTGGAACATGTGCCCGGTGGTCTTCAGCATGATGTTGTCATTGTGTCTATCACAGATGCCCAAGATGTATGTAGCCACACAGCAGCCAGCGCAGGAGTAGATGAAGTTCTCCACAGCCTGTGAAGAGTGCAGGCAGGGGGTGGGGCCACCTTCCTCTCGTGTGAACCCAGCACCCAGCACCCACCTGCTTATCCGCATTATATACCAAAGCACAGGTTTATGAACACAGAAGCATTCCTGTCATCTATGTATTCTGAAGTAGGAGATGGAAGGTTTATGTCTATATACACCCTCCATTTGAATTTGGTTTCGTTTGTTTGTTTGGTTGGTTGGAAAGACAGTAGACATGCGCAGTTCTGATCGGGAGACCTTAGTAGACAGAAAGGCTGATGCTTCAAACTTTTCCAAGAGGTCAAGATAACCCTAACTAAAGAGTGGTATTGAGTATTGGAACTAAGGGCATCTGACCCTGTGGTAGACTATTATTTCATCTAGGCAAAGATGTGCTACACTTGTTTATGCTGCAGAACGTTACTTTAACTATGTAAAGGTGTGTTGTTACTTTTGCTTATGTTGCCTTTGTTTAACAGTGTAAGGATGTGTGTTTAACTGTGTAAAGATATGTTGCATTTGTTTCACCTTGTCTGCCTAAGACACCTGATTGGTCTAATAAAGAGCTGAACTGCCAATAGTTAGGCAGAGGGAGGAATAGATGAGGCTGCCAGATAGAATGGAAGAAATCTAGGCTCAAGGAGAAAGAGAATGAGCAGAGGGACATAGCTGGCTGGGGCAAGAAGTCAGGCAGATGCTAGCCAAACAGCCAGGTACAGAGAATCAGTGAAAGTAAGATACACAGAAATAAAAAAGGTAATAAAAATAAAAATCCCCGAGGCAAGAGGTAGATAAAGAGAAACAGGTTAATTTAAGTTAAAAGAGCTAACCAGAAATGAGCCTAAGCTAGGCTGAGCATTCAAAACTAATTAATAAGCCTCCGTGTTGCGATTCGGGAGCTGGTTGGTGGCCCAAAAGAAAAAGCCTGGTACATGACCCTTCTTCATGCACCCTTCTTCCTGTCCCAAATAGCACTCCAGTCCCAGAGTGCTTGATAGCAGCCAAATGCTTACCTAATTAAAATCACGGCCTCCAAAGAAGAGCTGAGACAGCGTCACACTTCCTGCAGTGTTTTGCACTTGGAAATCAGACATCTCTATTTAGTAAAATGTGTTGGAGATATTTTGGGGCTCAAGGGGTGGGAGGGGCTGGGGTAAAAGCACTTGTGCTTTAAGCATGAGGAAGGACAGGAGTTGGAAGCCCTAGTACCAATGTAAAAAACTAGGTATAGCTGTGCATGCCTGTAACCCCCATGTGGTGGAACTGGGATGTTTGAGAGTTCACTGGCCAGCCAGCCTAGACAAAACAGCAAGCTTCCAGTTCCTTCCTCAACAGACCCTACCTAAAGACAGCAAAGTACAGAGTGAGAGAGGAAGACACTTGATGTCCTGCTTTGGCCTTAGCATGCACACCCATGGGTGCGTGCATTTACCCATTCATGTTCATGCACAAACACAAAAAGGAGGCGGGGCCAGGCGTGTGGCACTTGGGAGGGAGAGGCAGGTCTCTGTGTGTTTTAGGTCGACTTGATCTATATAATGAGTTCCAGGACAGCCAGAGCTACATAGTGAGACTCTTGTCTCAAAAAACAAAACAAAGCAAAAAAAAAAAAATACCACAAAAAAAAAAACAGATATAGAATTCAGCTTTTGTAAGGGGAAGGCCATTTCTTAGAAAGCAAACATCTATGAATGAAAAAAAAAACTGCTTGGATCCTGGCGGTGGTGGTGCACGCCTTTAATCCCAGCTCTAGGGAGGCAGAGGCAGGCGGATCTCTATGAGTTTGAGGACACCTGGTCTACAGAGATAGTTCCAGGACAGGCTCCAAAGCTACAAAGAGAAACCCCATCTGTAAAAACGAAGAAAAAAGAAAAGCAGGAAGAGAAAAAAGAAAAAGGAACTACTAGCTCTGTGCCTCACATCTACAGTCTCAACATTCAGGAAGCTGAGGCAGGAGGATCATGAGTTCCAGGCCTACCCGAGTTATGCTACAGAGTGAGGTCCGGTCTCAAAAAAACCAAAAGGGGAAAAAAATAACAAAGTCAGCTTCCAGGTATGTCCCTGCTTGTTGTAGACACTTGCACATTTATTATGACTTGCTAGTACGCTGGCACAGAGAAATTACAGTTCCAACACCCAGCACAGCACTTGTTATGGGAGGTGTTCGGCACCTGAGAGAACACGTTAGCATAAATAGCACATGGGTTTGGAGGAGGGAGAGAAGCAGCAGCAGTAGCCTCTCCAAGCTCAGTGTACAATGTCAAAGGAGCAGTGTGTGAGGCTGGGAAACAGGGAATGGCTTTCTAGGCCAAAGGGTACTATCATCTAGAGGTATTAGACTCGTGCGAACATCCCCTACACGGGAGCCTAAGTGAAAGGCCAGGCTGGATTACAAAGGCAGCGATGTAGATGTTGGATTTATCTAGTGGCAGCCTTTGAAGAACCCAGAGCAAAGATGTGACATGAACGGCTCTGGACTTGAAAAGTCCCCAAAACTAGGCAGAAGGACCGTGAAGAAGCTGCTGGCTCTGGTCTGGGTAACTGCAGCATCCTACAGTTATGGATAGGAAACACACAATAAGCAGGCCTCAAGAGGTGAGCGGAGACAGGAAACTGATGATAGCAAAGATGCAGCGGGGGAATCCAGCCATCGAGGGCGACTGCGGCTTAAGTTGCATGGGGAAAGGGGTTACAAGTGGGGCTTTGGAGTCCTCGGGACATGAGCAGGGATAGAAGGCATAGCAGAAGGCATGTCAGTTAAGACAGTGTTAGTCAGAGAGCACAGAGGGAGGGCCTGGGAATTATACCCTGGGGACCACAAATTTATTAGGGCTGCTTAAGACCACCTGATCACACACCCATCAGACATATTCTGGTTATTATTTGACTGCCTGCATGTCTTCCTTCAGGAATAAAATGCACCGATCAACATAAATTAGTATTGATATTCCCTTGAAGCAAGCCTTATAGGAATTAACATTCTGGCATCTTTTGTTTGTTTTGAGACAGAGTCTTACTATGTAGCCCTGGCTGGCTTGGACTCACAGAGGTCTACCTGCCTCTGCCTCCTGAGTTCTGGGATTAGAAGTATGTATCACATTCTGGTATTTTTATTGTAACCTGCTCCTCTTCACTCACCCCAAACTTCATGAATCCAAAGACGACAGTCATGAAGCTGAGGACCGGTCACGGATGACAGCAGACCACCAGGGCTCTACCATCCCTGGCAGCTCACCTTCTTCCCTCTAGCGGGGCCAGTTAGGCCGCTTGGCTCCAGTGTGAGTCTTATCACTAGCCTCAATCTTGGCTTCAAGTTACAGTCTTGCATACCAGCTCCATTGCTTGGAGCAAGGGTTGCACCTGACTCATGCCCACAAAAAAGGGGGGTTGGGTTAAGATGCTATCCAAAGCCTCTTCCTGCCATCTCGAATCCTAGGCAGCATCACTGAGTCCCTCTGAGAGTGCCAGGGAAACAGGCCAGGATCCACAATTGGGACAGATGGAGGCAAACTCTCATAAGCTGCTCCCCATACGACCCAAGACTGGGTCTTTTCTAAAAGATACTGTTAATTTGCAATAGTCATCTGACCCATCTGTCCACAGAGAGCACACCCTTCAGCAAAGCTGAGCCGGCCTATCTGTGCGCACACAGGTCTGGCGCTGGCAGAGCTCTGAGTCACAGACAGGCACACTGCCTCAGCAGCTCTGGGCTTTGGAATCCCCCAGTCCTACCTTTTCATATTCGTCCTCCCCGGGGTTGTGTTTCTGCAGCCAGTCGGCCAGAGGACGGTCCTTGAAGGAGCCGGTCACCCCATGTTCCACCTGGATCTTGCGCAGCGTCTCAGCATTGGGTATCATCTCCACCATCCCTGAGGGAGAAGCAATCAGACTCAGGCTCCAGAACAGAGTGAGGAAGTCTCTCTTAGCTGTGTAGATGCTTCCCACGAGCTAAGCCCCAGAGCCTTTGGACAAAGTCTGCCAGCAGGGAGAATACATGATGGACGATGGAAAGAAGACCACACCCACACCACATATTCTAGGCTGGTGCTAGGCATCCCAGGTCATCATGTGAAAGATAGACAGGGCTTTAAATCAATTCTCAGGTAGCCGCCACCCAGCTCTACCAATCGGTGCTTTACTAATTCCTTTTCCCCTTCTGTTACCCAATTAGCTTCCTACTTCCTGTTCTTCCAGCTGGAGGACTGCAAAGCCAGACAGGGTCTCGCTCTAGGCCTCGAACTTCTGATCCTCCTACCCCATCTGAGAGCTCGGATTATAGGTATGCTGTTACCGCTCTCTACTTTGGACATGCCATTTCATGCAATAAATACTTTTAAATATAACTAACAAGGACAGAATAACCACATACTTGTCACATCCAAAACACTAAGAGTGGCCCTGGAAGCTAGAGCCTCTTTTCAAATTTCCTTACAGCCATCTCAAAACCACAATGGGTTTGTTTGATCAAGATCCAAAGTCCACAGAGGTTGCTATGCCTCCAAGTCTGTTTTGTTTCGCAACAGTCTCTCCCTCGCTTTCTTTTTTCGAGTCACCCCACAACTTCTCATGGAATAATCCTGCCCTTCTATTCTCCATTGTTCACGTTGGGGAACGAGCAGAAAGGCGGGGAGTGAAGGGACGCCCTGCCCGACTCCCGGCTGACCTCTCCCTCGGCCAGTGGAGAAGCAGCGGAAAATGACCATGCGCATATCCAGCCCCTCCTGCACCCAGATCTTGCTCATGATGCGGATCATCTGCAGGGTGAGCATGTCCTGGCGAAGGTCATCCCCGCACTGGAGAGGGAAGAGGAGCAATTAAAACCCATTCCACTCCCTCCTGACACAGTGGCATTCCAAACTACAGGGAAACTGCCAGCTTTGCAGCACTCACCTGTTGATCTGGCCCACGGGGTCAGGGGTCAAGGAACCAGGACCAATCTCTGCAGTCTGCCCCTTGCCTGGCTCCCCACCCCTCCCGTTGCTGCGCATCCCTCTGAACTGAACTATGGTTCCTTTTCTGCAAGAAGCCCTCCTGACCACTAGGCCCGGTTGTTTGAGACAAGTTCTGCCTGTGCAGCCCGGGCTGGTTTTGACCAGCCATCTTTCAGCCTCAGCCCGTGAGTGCTGGATTACAGATACGCACCACCATGCCTGAGTCACTAGGCCTTTTAAAATCTTGAACTTTTATACCAGATCAGAAACTAACTATAGACTGTCTTTGTTTGTTTGAAACAGGGTTTCTCTGTGTAGCTTTGGAACCTGCCCTGGAACGCACTGTAGACCAGGCTGGCCTTGAACTCACAGAGATCTGCTGCGTCTGCCTTCTGTGTGCTGGGATTAAAAGCCTGGTGGTTTTGCTTTTTTGTTTGTTTGGTTTTGGTTTTTGGTTTGGTTTGGTTTGGTTTTTCAAGACAGGATTTGCTTTCTTTTGTTTTTTGAAACAGTGTCTCAATATCTAGCCCAGCCTGACCTGGAAGTCACTACATAGTATAGGCTTGCCTCGTGGCAATCCCTCTGCCTCAGCCTCTTTTTTTTTTTTTGTTTGTTTGTTTGTTTTGTAGCTTTGGAGCCTATCCTGGCACTAGCTCTTGTAGACCAGGCTGGCCTCGAACTCACAGAGATCCGCCTGCCTCTGCCTCCCGAGTGCTGGGATTAAAGGCGTGTGCCACCACCGCCCGGCTGCCTCAGCCTCTTAAGTGCTGAGATTTCAGGCATTCACCACCCATCACAACCTACCGAGGAAAGCATTCTCACCTTGAAAATGACACGGATGTTCTCACCCAGGGGATCCACATTTTGGAAGGCAAGCTTGAGGGGGACCGCGTTAGAATTGAAGTAGGAACAGTCCTGTACAGAATAGAGGGCAGTGGCTAATGTCAGTGGACCGCGCCAGGAAGGAAAATGCCCTCTTCACGTTGGATCAAGATGCTGTCTACCTTCTTGTTGGTCCACCCAGGACATGCTCATCACATCTTCCAGATTTCCCAGGAACCCAAAGTCCACATCCCTTTCCTTGCTTCTCTCTTCCAGGCTTAGGTTGCTATTACCATGGCTCTACATCTGATTACCTACCCTCTTCCCTTCGCTCCGCACACAACTTCCCAGCTGGTGACGTCTGATAAATCCCACGTCCTACACTTTCATAATAGTACCACGTGCCTAAGAGTTGTGAGGACACAACGAAACAACTGACCAAAAGCCCCGTGCTGGACAGTGAGTCGAGGCCGGAGGCTAAGAGTTGCCACCCTCGCCGCCTTAGCTAGCTGCATCCAGAGCACCATTAGGGAAACCCAGCCTCTGACCCAATTCCGCCCAGCACACAATTACGGTTGTCAAACCAAGTCCACACACAGTCAAGCTGGGAAGAGGCCACCTGTTTGCCCTCCTCCCTCCTCTCCTAAGGCAGGGTAAGGAGGCCTTCACCTCCCGCAAGTGTTCCCCCTTCTTTGAAGTTCCACACCTAGCAGAGACTCACCCTGGGCACAATGCCCTTCACCAGTAGACTGGGGCTTAGCGGCAGGCGGCACGAACCGTTGAGGGCAAAGAACTGCTTCACCTCCTCCAAGCCCGTGCGAAGGATGCCCTTCAGAGGGAGTGGGGAAAAGCAGGGGTGAAGGGAGAGGCCCAGAGGCTGCACTGAGAGCCGGGCATCTACCTCCCAAGGAAGGAGCCTAGTCAGGTGCCTAAATAACAGGAACAACTTCTGAGAAAGCCTTGGGGAGGACAGTCACCCACTTAGGTCTCAGACTTGCTCAGTGAACAAGAAGCACCCTGAGTTTCTAAGAGGAAAGGCAGCCAGGAGAAGGGAGAGGGGGGTTTAGATGAGAGGGCAAGGGGGTAAAGGTCCTTCAAGGCTTGGATAAGAGAAGAGAAGACCCAGATACAGATAAAGATCTCCCAAGGTTTAAGACACCAGAAGCACAGCTGGTGTGGCCTAGCACCTAAAACAAAGGTGGCCCTTTCTGTCACCTGTCTCAGCCCTGAGTCATGGTTCCCCACAGTGAAAAGTGACCAGACCTTAGCCCTCAGCAGCTGAGTGTGCTTGTGCACACTCAGGTAAGCCTAGCCTTTAAGGCAAGCAGCTAAGTCAAAATTCTAATATTTTGCAAGCCAAACAAAACACATTCGTGAGCTGTAGCCAGCTTGGGGACTGTTTGTGGCTTGCAGGTTACAGCCACCTCCTTCTAGTCACTTTCCATCCTGCTGCTCAGGATGTCTGAGAGGTAAACTCCTAGTGACACAAGCCTCAGCTAGAAACAGGGTCAGGGAGAGCAGGCCTTGCCTATTTACCTGGCGCGCAGATGGGGTGGCCTCTCGGACCTGCTGGGCCAGTTTGGCCAGGGTATTGACAAGCCAGCACTGGCGGTTAAACTCCTCCCTCAGTCCCTTGCCACAGCAGCACAGCAAGGCTGCCAGCAGGTACTGGTAGCGGATGCTGAACTGAGAGTCCTTGAGGCTATCCTTCAGTAACCTGTGAGGCAGGGCAAGTGGGGAGTCAGGCCACTCAGGAGCCACAGCATTGAGCAAGGGAGAAAAGGGTCATCTCCTGCTTCAACTCAGAAAGCCCACGCCCCCACACACACCTCAGAGGGAAATCTGCTTTGAATGACTTCCCTGTCTTGGAGCGGAAGCCCCTCTATAGCTCATCTTGACTTTATGCTTCTTCTGCCATGGGTGGGTAGAGGAGGGGGATCAAGATGGTCTCCCCTGAGTTACACGGAGGTGAATGGAGACCCCGTTGAGGAAAGATACTAGACCAAGGCCACAGGGTAGATGAGCAACATGCTGGAGTCCGGTCTCTTAACTCCTCCCTCCTACTTGCCACAGAGGGACTATTACTGCACTACAGCCCCTATCTACCTCCCTTTCTGCACGCTGAGTTTACCAGAAGAAGTAGTGGGTCACTCTCAGGTCAGAGATGGCTCGCTTCAGGAGAAAGCGCACCAAGGGGCTGTCCAGGTAGCACTCATACTTCAGGGCCTGTTCGGAAGACAGCAAACACGAGGCTTTAGTAAGCACCTGAAATCTGCACTGACTACCGTCCCCGGATGGTGGCTTCTGAGGGCAGATGGAGAAAGACTAGGGAGCGGGGGCATGAGGACAGCGAGTCCTCGCACCTGTACCAGCTGGGGCAGGTAGTCCAGCAGCTCCGCATCTGAGAGGGAGCCGATCCACTGCACCGCCATCCGCCTCACCTCCTGGTCGGGAAAGCTGCGGAAGAGTTCAGAGACTTGACAATCCCCACTGCGGGCTGTGACTCAGAGATGTGAGTCAAACTTTATGCCTGGGGTCAGAGGCATGGAGAAGGAAAAGCCCGATCCCTCTCCTGCCAAGATCTGCTTCTCTTCTGGAAGGCAGTCCTTAGAGATGGTCTTCTCATCCCCCTGCCCCATGGACAGTCTCCCTTAGGCAGGGGAGAGCAGGAAAATGGCCTTTCTTATTCCCTGAGCACTTTACCCAAAGCTCTTCCTAAACCCCCACTCTTAGAAGCCCCTGCCGTCAAGGAGCCCTTGAGTGGGTGAGGCCTGTTTTCCTGGTAACATCCCTACGATACAGAGCCTGCCAGGCAAGCAATACAGAACTGTGGGGGTTTATATAAGCCAACAGACAGCCTGGGAAATGAGTTTTGCAGGGATTAGCAAAGATGTAGCCTTGGAAAGTCTCAAAGGCAGGTACATTTTGATTTCTGAGATGGCAAAAAAATAAGCCAGGAATCCTGGGTACAGTCTAGAAAAGGCAGCTCAGACGGGCAGCCCCATGACCTCAAGAACTCTTTCGGAGAAAGAGAAGAAAGGAGTGTTAAAATGGGAAGTCAGCCATCAAGGTTTGGGCTACACAGGGAAAGCATTTGCTGAAACAATGGATGAATATGTGAAGTTCAGGCTTATGTGTAAATTTTGCTTCGAACAAAAAAAAAAAAAGGAATCCTGAGCTGTGTTAATAATGTGTGTGCCATGGAGCATGGGGGCCTATGCCTTTAATCCCAGCTCTCAGGAGGCAGCAGAGACAGGCATCTCTGAATCTTTGTGAGTTCAAGACCAGCATGGTCTACAAAGCCAATTCCAGGCCAGTTAGGGCTACATCATGAGACCCTGTCCCAAACACCAAAATTTTTGGTTTAACAAAAAGATCATGATCAAATATTTACAATTTAATGATGTGTGACAGCTGCCCAGAAGAGCACCCAGACACCTAATAAAGCATTGCGGGGAATGCCAGGGGTGGCATCTAGGCGACTTGCATATGGGGTATTCCCAGGAGCACTGGGGGAAAAACAAGACAAAGAAAAGAGAAAACCAGAAAAGCCCAGAATGCTCATGTCTGTGTCCCCATTTTCCCCAGCTGGCCTGTCAGTGATGGCGGTGCTGGGACAAGTAGGAGCTACAACTCACGTGGCATGCAGGAGCCCCAGGGCATCCTGGTGGTTCATGTGTGGCCACTGCTTCAGGAGAGCATAGATGTCGGGCAGGCAAGCCCACTCCCAGCTGGGTGCACTGGCGAGCACCAGGGGCAGTGAGCTTACCTCAGAGTGGCAGTAATAGCGCTTTTCCCACAGGTGCTTTCTGTCAGCATCCGTGAGCCTGTGAGGAGACAGGTGGAGTGAGCCAGAGGGCTGAGAACTTACATCCCAAGGGAGTGGCTGCACACACTACCATTCAGAGGCTTCCCAGCGTCCCTGTACATGATCATCAATCACCTGAGGGGGGTTGGTGACTTTCTGGCGCCTAGGACCCGCCCCAATGCCAACTGAGTCAGGATGTCTCCAGAAACTAATCATCGGGTGTATCAGAATGATCACAGGTGATTGCAATGTGAAGCTAAGCTTGGAAAGCCGGGTCCCATCTCAGGGACACATGTCAGACTGAGGCTAAGAACGTGGACCAGTAACACCAGACCACGGGATGCCCTTGGGGGCCCTACTCCCGTGTAGAGCCACTAGAGGGCAGTGTGAAACACTTGTCAGGGTTTGGGCCCCTGAGGCCTCTTGGGACTTCTCTTAGCTTTATAGGGTCTGTAGCTAATTAGGACTTGCCTGAGATCAGGTGTCTAATGGGGGAGACAGGAGCTGAGGGGCTAATGAAATGAGGGGTCAGGAGTGGGGTGGGGGCAGGGAGGTCTGCATCTCTCGTTCCTCAACCCAGCATATGCACAAGGCCATTCAGAGCCCAGAGAGGTGACTGGGATGAGAGAGGGCTCTGACTCTCCTCCTTCTCACCCCTCCCTCTCCAGTCCTGGGTGAACACAGCAGCCCCAAGGATGAGATCAGCCTGGACTCCAGAGAGTTGCCAGCTTGCCAAGACACCTGATCCTTTTTGGAATGTGACAAGGCCAGAAAAATGCAAAGGCTGTTGGTGTGGATGGGCGGGAGGCTGTGGGGGCAGGGAGGTGAGGACAGAGACCAGCTGCCCCACCAAAAGTAGAGGATGGCATATCTGGGGAAGCGGCACAGCTCTGATCCTCCTGGTAGGTGGGTCTGGGGCAGGTCACTAGCGTGGGGCTGGGTAGCCTGGGATTTCATTTCCTGACCTGCCCTATCCACTTTCCCTAGTGTCAGCTAGGGAAAGGTCTGGGAGTTGCCACCCTTCTGCCTAGGTGGTAGCAATAACTATCTCACTGACCTCCTCCCCTCCTCAAGCACAAGGGCAGGAACTAGATGCCAGAAGGTAAAAAGTCAGGCAGACGTTGACAGTGAGAAGGAAGCCTGTGTCAATATGGGCCTCCTCACCAGTATAGGGACTCCTTCTGCGTGATGTCTTTAAGCTTGCGTTGGTCCTCCTCCCGGAGGCTGCCAAACTCATAGCGGGGGCTGAATTTGTCTCCAGGGGGGCTGGTGAACTTGATATCAAAGGCCGAGGTGGGGAAGTCAATCTTGGGATAGGATCAGAGAAGCAGAAGAAGAAAGGAGAGAGACAGTGTCAGTCAGTGGAGGCGGTCAGTCCCATCCCTGGGTCCCCAGCTATCCTCTCACACCCGGCCGAGGACTCCTGCCCCAATCCTTTATCTTTGTAAAATAACCCCAGATGCCCATGGGGATCCCCCAAAGTCCCAGCTGTAACTTTTAGTAAAAATTAAAAGGAAACCATCAGAAGCCTAGCGTGATGGGTTATGCTGGGAATCCTAGCGCTCAGAAAGGCCGAGGCAGGAGTACTCCTGAAAATTTAAGAACAGCCTGATCTACACGGTGAGTTCCAGGCCAGTCAGGAATCATAGAGAGGACCCTTTTCATCCAAGCCTTCCCTTCAAAAAGAGAAACATAGGGAAAATGGACAAAGGGAGGGAAAGGCTGGTTTGAGATGCTTAAGGAAGACAGGCCCCACCTCGAAACCCTGAACAGATATTACTAGGACAAGTCACTCAGAGTGCCCAAGCTGAAGCAGGCGACCCCCTAGTGTGATCCTCTGGGGACCTCATAGTGTGGTCCTGGAGGCATTGTAGCATGCGGGGATCTGGGACCACACCTTGGGTGAAGGCTCGAACTCTATGGTCTGTGGTCATTTACGCTGTACCACCAAAAATGGGCATCAGAGCTAAAAGATACAGTTCTCCAAGGAGTTCCGCTTACTCATTTAGCAAGTGTACACACACTGTACCCTGACTTGCACTGGGTGTTTTTCTAGCCCCTGTGCACAGAGTCAAGACAAAAACACCTGCCTCTGGAAGCACACATTCTGAATATTTCTATTACATTTTCTGTCAGTTTTGCTATTCCCTACCCCATACCACAGCATCTCACAGGCTTGAGAAAGGGGAATCAGAACTAGGGTTAAGGCAGCTTCTCTCCCTTCCTCCCAGGAGAACAGGTCCCCTTGGCCTCAAGAGAAGCACCTGGTTGGATCAGGCTTAGAAGGATGAGCCCAAAACAGGGTGAGCCCTGGGTGGAGAAGGTCTCAGACATCACCTTCAGAGGATGCTGTGAAATGAGGGATGGGAACTTTCCACTCATGCCCTCACATTCAGTGGGGTGCTTGGTCACATCTCATCCCATGCCCGAAGTTCCTACCCAGAGTTCACTGGGGGCCTTGGAGCTGACTCTGGTGCTCTGGGATAGGCGGATGGGAGAGAGAGGCTGGGTCTCACCTGCAGGATGACACTGTCTGGCTGGTGGAAATTAGGTGCACTCCAACGGGCACTGGAGTTTTCCTGTGTTGCTGGCCACAAGCCCAGAAGCTTCCGGCCACAGGTCAAGACTCTGAGGTAGAAGGAGAGTGAGATGAGCCAACAACCACTGTGTAATTGGTAGGGTTCTCTCCTGCTCTCTTGTCCCCAGACCTTTCCTAGTGGAAGTCTCTTCCCCACTCCTGTCTCTCTGATTCTCCCCCACAGAACACAGCTTTTACTACTAATCTCTATGAAAGCTCCCATTGCAGAAAGCCTCTCCAAGCTCACCACTCCCTGACCAGGATGACCTGTGGGCTGGGATATCTCCCTGAGGTAGAGAGGCCTGGATAGAGGACCTCTAAAGTCCTAATGACAGGACCGGATGACTTGTAACGGAAACGTTGCTCTCCCAAGCCCCCTCGCCCACCTGCCGGGTTCCATCCTTAGTCCTGGTCCCCAGGCCTGTACATTGGTTTCTCTGCTAGGACTGAGGCTCTCTGGACTTCACAGTGAGCACCACATGGCCAACCCTTCCCAAGGAGCATTGAGAAAAAGCAGCCCCTTTTATCTTCATCCCCCTTGTTCCCTTCCAAGGCCAAAAGCTGGTCCCCTGGGGCTCACATACTGCCTGAAGTTGAAGAGAGGGGTAGTGACCCAGCCCAGGGCTTCGGGCACCCGCCTCTGCTTATTGGCTTCCGAGGAACTCCCAGGAGGGGGGATGGGCAAGGCATAGAGTGTGGCACACAGCAGGGTCTCCCGAGGCAGCCTGTTCACCTGCACTGGAAAACAGATCCTAGGAAACAAGGGAACCAGAATCAGGGCCTTCCGGGGCTGGGGGGCGTGAGAAGTCTAAGCAGAGACTCTGCCTTCGTCTCAGCAGTCACACATGTCCCTAGCCTCTCACAGAACCGGACAGGTCCCAAAGCAAGTAGGACCTCTTCCGGGTGGCCCTACGATGCGATGCACTCCCGGAAACCCAGAAAGACGCCTCTGGGACTCCTGACTCAAACATATCCCCCAATTTTCAGGTAGGGCCCTGGAGGAACTCGCTTAGCCAAAGTCATCTCCGGGTCTGGGTGACCATCCATCCTGTCCTGTGCCAGACTCTTTCTCGCACACTGACATTTCTACAGAGGGTCAGTAAAACTTCCTTTCAGTCCTTGAGCCCCTCTTCCTCCCCAGTGACACCACACAGAGTCACCAGGGAGAAGTACCAAGATCTCTGCCCTCAGTGCACTGTTTGCCCTCCCCCACAGCCCTCTCATCGTCTGTGACCCCTCTCCTAGCCCCAGGGGCATACCCCAGAACAGGCTCAAAGTCCAAGAAGAAAGAGAAGGGGATTTTCAGAATTCCCTGAAAGAGACGGGCAGCTGGGAAAGCCAAGAGGACTCCACAAGCAGCAAGCACTCCTCAAGGCCAGATGTTCTCCACCCGTTGCCTGGACTACACCCAGCCACACCCTCTGAATTCAGGCTAAGGAGATTTGGGTGTGGGGAGGTGGAGAGAGCTGGGGGCTGGAGAAAAAGAAAGCCAGAACCCACCCGGTTACCTTTCCCGGAAGCTGTCCCTGGGCCAAAGTCCACACTGCCACACCTTCCTGGCTGGCCCAAGGCCCAACTGCTCCTACACCCAAAGGGCACAGAGGCTGGCAGCTACCTCCGAGGTCAGAGGTTTCAGATCAGGCCACCCTCTTCACTGCCCCTCACTCCTGGGGGAAGTCTCCACTCCGAGGAGGCACTCAACAGCCACCACAACTGGCACAGTCCTGCTCTACCCCAGCTGCTCTACCCTGGGGGCCCATCAGCTATAATTAGGGCCCCTTCATCAGCCAACGAACATGCCAGGCTTTTGGCTGAAGGTGACAGAGCAGGGCTGCTGGGCCTATTTTGAGAGTGAGCTGATGCCCTGTCCTGCTACAGTGGGAGGGAGAAGCAGCTGACCCCATAGCTGGTTCACACAACAGGGAAGAGCAGAACATGGCTAACACAAGGTAGGGCCACAATCCCTTAGAAGGCTGAGGTAGAGGACTGCTGAAATTTCAAGGCCAACCTATGAGTTTGCATGAGACCCTATCTTGGGAAGAAGGAGGTACATTTTGACTGAAACCATAATACAGAGAAGCAAGCAAGGCCCTCCCATTTCTCAGGTCTTTTAGTGTGCTTGGGATTCCAAAATGGCCTCCCTAACCCTTTGTCTGGGGTTGGTCGAGGGAACCACTACTTCGGCTGGAGAGCTGACTCTTCTATTTGCCTGAGAAATTCTCCTTCCTGTGTGCCCTTCTCCAACATTATAACATTGGGGTTGCCTCCTCCAGGGAACGCACTGGGCTCCGGTTTGGCCACATAACCTTTGGGTAACTGAACTGACAGTTCATCATGCTCACTAGGGGAAGCGGTCCTTTCTGCTGTGTGGCATTAGTTATTATACTTGAACTGGGTGCTGTGACACAGATAGTACAAATTTCACACAAATGTCTCTCGTGTGTTAGTCACCATCAGCCACCTGGAACAGAGAAACGGGAACTGAGAAGGCCAGAGCTGAGGCACTAAGAGGAAGACAGGGAAGGAGTGAACATTTATCAAGCACTAGGTACTGGGCCAAGTAAGTTCTTATTTTCTCTCTCCTGCCTCTCTCTCTCTCTCTCATCTTATTATTTAGCTTAGGATGGTCATGAACTCACAGCAATCCTCCTGCTGCAGGTATACAACCACCATGCTCAGCTGTCCAGGTGTTTTCCTATTTGTTTCACTTTTGTGGTACTGATGAATCTAGGTAAACACTCTACCACCGACCAAGTTGTCTTCTTCGTGTCCTAACAGCTCAAGGTCTTGTCAAGAGTCCTCTGTCCGCGGCCATTCTAGGCTATCTACAGTGTCATCTGCTGAATGAAGATGGCTGGCCCAAAGCTAGGCCCTGACCACAGTATGGTGCCTTCTCCCACATGCCTTGGCCTTCATTAAGAAGGGCTAAGAGGTCTGTCTCATTTCAGACATTAGGGAGGGTAGGGCTGAGGCCAATGCCCTACACTGGCTCTAGGCCTTAGGGACCTGGCCATGTGGATCAAGATAGAGATCTCACACTTAGCGTGGAAGATGACCAGTGTGGAAAACTGGGTCACATCCGTACCTCTGACTCCATCAGGGACTGGTAGATGGCGGTAGTTAGTGAGGTGGAGAATCTCAGTGGGATATTGAAACTCAAAGGCTCTTTACTTTGGCAGTGTTGCACTGAAGCCAGGGTCCCACTGAGACAGATCTCACTATACATAGGCTGGCCTCAAATTCACAGCAGCTCGGCCTCAGCTTCCTGAATGCTCATCTTACAGATCTGAGCACCATGGTCTGCTTCTCAGGGACTACTTAATGCAGCTACCTAGTCTCCAGGGAGTTTCTCCTACCCTGTCTGTCAGTGGTTACTGATCTAAAAATGACCTAAGTGTGATGAACAGGTCTGCCTGCCCTCTAGTCCGTCTCTTAAATATCCAGACCCTTCATCTACCTATTTAAACATCCTTGACCTCCCCAGGGACACTCTTCTGTCTCTGTAATCTGCAACACTTTTAAGCTGCATTTGCTGCTTTGCAAATGGGGACACAGATACGGTGGGCCTGGGGAAGTGAAGCTGGGGTGGTGGTTGGGGGAGCAGCAAACATCACAGGCAAGGTACTGGGAGACAAATACCTGTGATGCCACCTTCAAGGTCCCCTCACCCCTTATTTCTTTCCTATTTTGTACAACTAAAGCTTTCTTTCATGAAATCAAATCATTGTTAACAAATGGTAATGGATACCATCTTATATCAGTGGTTATCATACTTATAACCTGCCTATCTCCCTCCAGTACCACACCTGCCTCCAGGTTAGAAAGGTGTTCTCATTTCTCAATTTGAGAAGCTGAGGCAGACAGGCTAGAAAGAACACAGGATTAGAGAGAGTTGGAAACAGAGCCTTACTCCTCGGTTCTATACCCATTCTTCCTCCCTCTAGGCAATTGCCCTGTTCTGCCCAATTCTTTTTGAGTGTGAATAGAGATGGGATCTCCTGGTTGGCCTAGAACTTAGCTATGTGGCCCAGGTTGGCCTCAAGGTTACGGCAATGCTCTTGCCTCTTGCCAAGTGCTAAGATTCTGGGTGTGGTTTTGTTTGTCAGTGTTATGCTGTCTAGGGCCGAAACCCAGGGCCTGACATATGCTAGTCAAACACTCTAGTTTGAGCTATACCTTAGCCTTTCTGCCTATTCCAGAGAATATTGGAGGAAGGGAGAGAATAGAAATCCTACAGACCAGTTAAATTTTTTAAGAGAGGCAAGAGCAAAACAATAGTGTTTTTAAAATCAGCAGCAATATTTATATGATCCTTTGCAGATTATAAGGAGTCTTTAAGAGCCTTTATGGGTGCTTCCCATTGGATGTTCCTAACAACTTGAGAGGTAGAAATTACATGCTTGTCCCATTTAAGAGTCAGGGAACTGGAGACTCAAGAAACATCATGACCTGTCTGGATAAGGGCAGTTATGGAACCAGATTTAACCCAGGCTGTGCTCTGTTCTAGGTCTGACTCCTGCCCCAGAATCTTCCTGAAGTGAGCAGGTTGGTCTGGAGCTTAGGGAGAGCTTACTGCTGGTCCCAGATGATGAGATGGAACAGGTACTTGGAGAAGTGAGCCCGTCGGGTCTGCAGGGGGCTGCACAGTTCCTTGCCTCCATGGCTGAGGGAACAGGAGAGGTAGAACTCTTCATAGCTACAAAAGAACAGGAGCAGGTCGGTACACCTTGCCCTTAAAACCAATCTCATGCACCCAAATATTAGCCAAGCTCCGTTTCCTCTGGTAGATTTCTATTGGTCTCTGGAGAATGCAACATGGGGTCAGGGTCGGGACAACCAAGCCGGGCTTAAGGAAGTGTGCTTAGGAGCAGCAACTTTATCTGGATCCCTAGACCCCCCAGAGTCTTAGACCCATGCTGAGCACAGGAGTTTTTCTTCATTTCATGGGACCGGCCATCTAGCTGCCTCCTTAGTCAGTTCCAGTCCATCACGGGAAGCACACGGGCACCCATGGGTATATGTGGGTGTGTGTGAGTGTGTACATATATATGTATATATATAATATATATATATTTATATACACACATATATATACACATATATACACACACATACGTATACATATATACATACATACATGCAGGCAAAGGGTGGGGGAGGAAAACGGCATATGCTACCATGAATGCCGACACATGGGGGTCCCTGTGGCTCATGACAGGTGCCTGACAGAAGAGGTCAGAGAAGGCCCCTGTTTCCCAGGCTGCTTCCTTTGTTCTATGCCAATCGCCCAGAGGAATACATTAAGTGAGAAACAAAGAAAGAAGGGGAAGGGAGGGGAGGGGGTGGGGTTGGTAAGGGTGGGTTGGGGCCAAATGCCTATTCCCCCAGGCCTCGGGACTCTGGGGATCCAGCAGAAGAGCTGAGGACTACCAAAAGAACGTCCTCCTCCACCCACCCCTGCAAGGGAACCCCAGACAAAGGGTCACCCCCTCCCTACCACCCTCATTGTGCATCTGCAGGCGAGTGCAGCCATTGGCTTGGGCCACACTCTATCTGGGAACCGGCCATCTGTCGCCTGTCTCCCTCAGCTGGCTTGGGATCTGAAGAGGGAAGAGATGTTGAGGCGGCCAGCACTGGGGGACTGGCAGGTGCTTATCTATCTCCAAGGGAACTTTCTCTCTCTCTGGGATGGATACAGGCTGGGCTCCTCTCAGGCCCTAGGCTCACCCTCTTAGCCCTGTTGCACCAGAATGCCACACCTCCTAGGATGGAGGACAGTAAGGTCATGGGCAGAAGGGGAGCCGCTCATCTGTCTCCCTGGAGCTCTGACTCACCTGGTGGCCCAGATGATGGGAATGCGATGAGTAGCATAGACAGTGAAGGCCAGGGCCCCAGGGAAATGACAGGCCTCTTGAACCAAATCATGCTTCCGACTCCCGGGCACGGCGGTCTGGAAGTCTGCATTGAATGTATTGCAGTACAGCTCCACCAAGTCCAAGATGGCTGCTGTCAAGGCTTCTACCACCTTCTCTGTGAAGGGGAGGGGCCAGAGAGGAAACTCAATTAGGACTCGCCAAGGGCCATTTTGTTGCCATGATACCAGGAGTATAGGACAGCTTGGGACAGTGATCCCCAAATGCCAGCCAATTTCTAATAGCTGTGACAAAGCTTACCCATCTGCGGAGAAAAAGGAAAGATGCAGGAGCATGCCTGAGCATGTACCTCATCAAGAGATTCCCAGCTTTAAATGTGGTCCTATCTTAGATAGATACTTAATGTGGTGCTAAAATGTTATTTTTAAAAAGCCGCTTTCTGGCACTAGAGAGATGGTGCAATGGTTAAGAGAACTGACTGTCCTTCTAGAGGACTTGGGTTTGATTCCCAGCACCCACACTGGCAGCACTCCAGTTCCAGGGGGTCCAACACCCTCTTCTGTCTTCTGTGAGTATTAGGCATACGCAGGCAAAATACCCGTATATATAAAATAAAAATACATCTTTTTTAAAAAAGTCTTTTCTTGAAAAAAACAAAAAAAAACAATGTTTAACCCCTACTTAGTACCATGTATGTGCAGATGTACACACACACAGACACACACACAGATACACACACAGACACAAACACACAGACACACAGAGACACACAGACATAGACACATACACAGACACACACGCACACACAGACACACACGCACACATAGAAACACACACATACGCACACACAGGCTCACACACATATGCACACACAGACACACATGTACACACAGACACACACGCACACACACAAACACACACATACGCACACACAGGCACACAGACACACACACACAAAGCTAGAAATGCTATGTTAGCTCCTAGAAGACTTTAGGGGACAATCTATTCATCTGTGAATACCAAAGATGGATTCACTTTTAAGAAAGCTAGTGATGGGGCTGGAGACATGGCTCAGTGGTAAGAGCACTAATAAGACAAAGGACCCAGGCTCAATTCCCAGCAACCACACGACAGCTCACAACTGTCGGTAACTCCAATTCCAGGACCAGACATCCTCACACAGGCAGACATGCAAGCAAAACACCAATGTACATTAAATATAAAATTAAAAATTAAAAGGAAAAATAAAGTAAGATTTGCCAAAAAGTAAGGAAGGAAAAAGCAAGGAAGGAATAAAGAATGAGAGAAAGCCAGCAACACTGGTTTTCAGGACGAGGATCTGCTTAAAGAGTGTAGCAAGGAAAGAAGCCTGCAGAAAAATCCTTCCTCCCAAGTCCCATTCTAAATTGGAAGTGTAAAGGGTTATGGCTGCCAGGAGAAGAATCACAACCCAGCAAGGCGAGCTTTTCCATCCTTTTCCATCTGGATGGAAGGATAAATTCATCCTTGCTGATGCCCCTATCCACCTCATCACCCTCTCCCAGTAACACCATAAGGACTGATTAGCAAAAATAATGGGAAAAAAATCTGTGGAAAGAAAGAAATATGGGCTCCAGCTGTGTCCACACCTCACAGGGACACACACACACACACACACACACACACACACACACACCACACCAAGGGGCCAAGCAGGAAGAATGTGAGCTGAACCACTAGCTGGCAGTTCCAGCCTCTGTGGGACAAAGAGGGAGAGCACTGCCCTTACCTCGGTTTTCCCTCACAGCCAGCACGCTGGGATCCTGTTGGGGAAAGCGAGAGGGGGAGAGTCAGGCAGAGCCCATGCCCGCCCATTTTTATCACAGTTGGAAGGGCTCTTCACAGCTGTGCTCATCTGGGCCAGGCAGGGTTGAAATGTGAGGAGCAGAGAGTCCCGGGGGAGCGGGAGGGAGGGACGGTCCACAGGGTGGACAGAGGGAGCAGATAAAAAATAATAATAATCATGCTTACCTCAAGGAAAGAGCCCCAAGGCTGGGCTACAGGGTCTGTAGTGCCAGCAAGCCTTTACAGCACAGCAGCCCCCTATGGAACCACTGAACTCCTGGCTCTTGGGATTTCTGCCCCCTGACTTGGTTTTGCACCCTCATAAGCAAACTGTCAGGCAAATCCTCGGTGACTAAATAAAGCCTTTCTTGGCTCATGTGGTTATTCCCATGTGACTGAAGCTAGACCACCCCCTATGCTTAAGGAGGGGGGACGTGCGTCGCATCCATTTCCCAGGGGCTCTTGTGTCTGAACTGCTAACACATAAATGGTAGTGAAGAACCTCATTTGTTTGTTTGTTTTGAGACAGGGCCTCACTATGTAACCCAAACTGTCCTGGAACTCACTGTGTAGACCAGACTGGCCTCAAACTCACAGAGCTCCACCTGTCTATACTTCTCAAATGCTAAGATCAAAGGCGAAGGCCACCATGACCTGCTAGAAGAGCATTTTAGTAAATGAATACCAAGTTCTTTTTTTTTGTTGTTGTTGTTTAAACAGAAAAAGGGGAAACGATGTGGGAGTGTCATATATCAATCTGTTGTTTTCATTGGTTAATTAATAAAGAAACTGCTTGGCCTGATAGGTTAGAACATAGGTGGGTGGAGTAAACAGAACAGAATGCTGGGAAGAAAGGAAGTTAGGCAGACACCATACCTCTCCTCTCCAGGGCAGACACGATGAAGCTCTAGCCCAAGATGGACATACGCTAGAATCTTCCTGGAGGGTCACCACCTCGTTGTGCTACACACATTAATGGAGGTGGGTTGATAAGGATGTGAGAGTTGGCCAGTAGGAGGCTAGAGCTAATGGGCCAAGCAGTGTTTATATGGATACAGTTTGTGTATTGTTATTTTGGGGCATAAGCTAGCCAGGCAGCCGGGAGCTGGTGGCAGGAACGCTGCCCACAGCTCCTTCTACAGAATGGCACCCAACGTGGTAATCAGAAACTCAGTTACCTGTGGACATCCCCGTCCCTGGCTCACGCAACCCCCTGGGTCCCTTTACCTTCTGGATCTTTGGCTGCATGCGTGAGGGGCAGGGAGGCAGCTGGTTGAGAGCGCTGGTGATCTCAGGAGTCTCCACGGCGGCCAGGGCATTGCAGATGGCCTTGACAGACTGGACTACCCTGTCCGCCTTCAGTGGGAAATCCCCCTGCGGGAGGCCGAACAATAAGAGCCATGATTCAGTTCTATGCCTCCCCACAACCCAGTCTTAAAGGGTGTGCAGGGGCTAATGACTCCAAGGAGGAATTCCATGAACCATACTTTATTTTCAGGTATTCAGTCTCTTGCTTTGAATGGGCCACATCCACACTCCCTAACCTGTCAGCCATGCCACTAAAACTTTTCTTTCCAGTCTGCAGTGATGGTCTATTTCTGCTATACAAACACACACAGGTCTCCACCAGAGCCCTACAGGGTTAAATCAATTGGCAGGGAATAGCAAGGAGGTGGGCGAAACATTCTGAGGCCCCACTTACTCTCTCAGACTTCTTAACTCGCCACAGGATGGCTGATGTCATAGACACACCATAGACACACCACACTCTTCCCTCCCCTCCACACTGGGTATTTTCTCAGCTGAAATCTCTGCCTCTGTCTGGCTTTGACTGCTTATGTCAACTTAAATTAGGGACCAGGACACCAATTCCTTCGCAAAGCTTTCCGCTCCCAACATCCACAGTCATCCTCTATCGAGTAGCGCGTTGGATGAACCTTCCTTCCATTTCCCTAACCACGCCAGCTCCCTGAGGCCAAAACAAGTCTTACATTCTGCACAGTGGCTCTACCCACCGCCTGAACTAACACAGAACACTGCAAAGTGGTCTAAGATCTCAATGCCTGTGTTATTGTAGAGGCTGCTACAAAGTGGATCGTAACAGTGGGTGGAGGGTGAACTAGACATACTGCCCCAGAGAGAAGAATCCAAGACAAAACCGAACTGAGGACGCGGGGTTGTTATTTTGTTTTGTTTTTTGAGACCGGGTCTCACTATATAGCTCTGGCTGGCCTGGAACTCAGAGAGATCTGCTTGCTTCTGCCTGCCAAGTGCTGGAATTAAAGCCCTGTGCTGCCATGCCTAGTAGGGGATTTGATTTTTGAAGATGACTTCCAAAACTTTGCTTTAGCTTCATGATATTTGTGTAAGCGGCTCCGAGGCCTGCAGTCTGTGCAGGTCCAGGAGGGAAAGGATCAAGCCTTGGGACTTGCTGCTTCCCTGAGGGTGTGAAGTCTGGGCTGCAGGCTCAACAGAGCCTCTTCAGACGGTATCCCTAGGCATTCTTCACAGAAAAACAACAAAAATCCTGGGACCACACCCTTAGTTCAGGGGTGCTCTACTCCAGAGACAGCCATCAGAGTCCACCTCTTGACTTTCACAGAGGGGCAAAACTTTTGACACACTTGCCAGCTGCCCCTCAGCCAGGAAGTGTTTCACTTGCCCAGAACTAAGGGGTGAAAGAAGGTATCACTGACAGACTGTCATTGGGTTGCAGGAAACTAGGGAAGAAGGGAAATTCCAGTAGCTCCTCTCTCCAGCCCCAGGGTGTGGACTCACATCAGCCAGCAGGAAGGCGTCCACCTCGTTGTGGTACGTGTCAAACAGAAGACTCAAGGCCTGCCTGGGGGAGTGGGGTGAGAAAAATCACAGGCAAGATCACAAAAGAGTAGCTGCCCCTGGAGGCCCATACTTTCCCTCCCATCTCCTGACTCTGATGTGGTGAAGGAGTTCCCACTCTTCCTGTGTCCCAAGAGGACGGAAAAGGGGTCTTTTCCACTTTGCTACCTCTCACCTAGAGAGGGACATGAAAAGCGTTAGCATGGTGGTTCCCAACCTGCGGGGTCACATATCAGAAATTTACATGACAATTCCTAACAGCAGCAGAAGTACAGTTATGAAATGGCAGGAGTGTAATGTATTTACAATGTGCTGGGGTCAGCACACCATGAGGAACTGTATTAAAGGGCCGCAGCATCAGGAAGGCCGAGAACCACCACTCAGAGAGAGGAGAGAAAGAGTGGGCTAAGGACATTCCTAACAAGTTTCTTGGGCCAACGTCCCGAACGTTTACAGGAACCTATGATGCCAGCAGGAAGCCAGGCAAGCGCGTCTGTACCATTCCCTCGCGGTTCCTGCTGAAACTATACCTGGTGGTCCCCACGCTCACCTGCTGATGGTCTGCTTGACTGGCCTCTCTTGGAGATGGATGAGGTAGTTCAAGGTGGAAGGGCTCTGATCGTCGTTCACCTGAGGAGCGAGCAGTGTCCTCATCAGGCAGGAGCAAGGCCCTTTCCCCAACCTAGCCTACCTGCCCCGCTCCCACCTGATGTCCTATATCCTGTGTCCACTCTACCACCCCAGGTATGCACAGTCGTCGGCCATTCCCAGTAAGCACATACCGTCCGGGCCAGGTCACTCCGCATGGCCTTCTGCTCCATCAGCTGCAGTCGGATGTTGATGTCAAACTTGCGGCAATATTGGATATATTCATGGCTGCCCAAGGCATGCTTACTGGTGGGGTAGGGAGACAAGATGATTAGTGCCTGGGGGACTCAGTGGGAGGAGAGACACATACTTTAGCCTGGGGAGAGACAACTAGGAAGGAAGGGCGGGAGAACGAAAGATAGGAAGGGGAAAGGGGCTATGTCATAGGGCTTCGCCTTTACTCCTGCAAATGCCATGGTAAAGCAGAGGAAAGGCATGGGGTTTATCTGAATAAAAGCCGTCCACCACACTTAACCGTGAGCTACCCAAATAATGACCCACGGTTCATTCTCAGGACAGGAACCACTACAGAGTTGGGTTATAGAGGGGGCTTGTTAGGGGGCAGCTCTTTAAACCCTATTTTCTTGACTTTGACAACCGAGGGGAAATGGGCTGGGACACAGACTCTGACGTCCAGTCTCCTTTGTGTGTTACCTATCAAGGTGCTGAGGACAAATGAGGCAATCCCACCAGAATTCTAGAACGGTTATCCTGAAGCGGGTTCCACTTCTCCCCTCCCTCCACGCCCTGCCAGATTATGAGTCCCCTGTAAGTCTTCACAGTTGCTAAAAGATACGTGCACTTCTAGCTGCTCAGCACCCACACAGTAGAGCCGTGGTTCAGAAGAGGCAGCTTGCCGAGTTCCTCCCCTACCCAACCTCTTCCTCTCCCCAAAATCACACCTTAATCAGAAAGGAAACCCACAAGAAAGGGCTGAACAAGCCCCACTCGAGGCCACTGCTCCAGGCTGGGCCAAGCAACAGCATCTGGGGAACAGAAGGCGGAAACGGCCTTCCTTCCTCCGCAGAGATGGGAATCTGGGCTAGAATGGAGAGGAACGGAGGGGAGCAAAATGGAAGAGGGGTGCAAAAACCTCTGGAAGTACAGGGCCACAGGCCAAACAAAACCAGCCTAGACTTTGAGGTTTTCCACATCCTGGGGGGATCAGACCTGCAAAATGTGTTCTGATTGGCTAAGATTAAAGTAAAACTGAACCGTGGCCATGGGGAGGCTGGACCGCCAGGCAGGCCCGCAGGAGGGTCTGTGAGGAAGGAAGACTGAGTGCAGTGGTGGAGAGAGGGGGAGGGCCGCCGCAGGAAACCGAACCTCCCCTAGGACTGTCTCAAGGTTCTTATCACAGAGCTGCCTGCATCCTGGAGCAACACTCCCCTCCTATCGGCCCTTCCAGGGAGGCGAGGGAAACAATCCTCAGGGCTTCCTTGGGAACTAGCCATTTTCTGGTCCTTTCCACCCAGGAACCAGCACTAGGCTTTTATGCAGGGTGGATGAGTAGAACCAAGGTGTCATGTCCCCAGTGACTTCCTTCAACTTGTCGGTGAAAGGGCTTCAGCTGTGCACACACGTTGGAGGAGGGGTGGAGGACACGACCATGACCTGGTCTCAGGTCACTGGGAGCATTTCACTTGACATCTCCCAGTACCGCTGCACTTGGGGCTCCAGTATTAGAAGTCTGTGTTTTCAGAGCCTCAAGGATCCTCTTCTGGGGCTGGTCCCTGGCCGCTGGTATCCACTGACTGTTCATCAGGTCCTCACACTAACCCTCATCCTGTGTGTGTGTGTGTGTGTGTGTGTGTGTGTGTGTGTGTGTGTGCAGGTGTGTGTGTATGCTGCACAAATGGAACCCAGGTGTTTATGTGTGTGTGTGTGTGTGTGTGTGTGTGTGTGTGTGTAGGTCTGTGTTTGTGGGGGGGGGCAGGTGTGCGTGTATGCTGCACAGATGGAACCCAGGTGTTTGTGTGTGTGTGTGTGTAGGTCTGTGTTTGTGGGGGGGGGCAGGTGTGTGTGTGTATGCTGCACAGATGGAACCCAGGTGTTTGTGTGTGTGTGTGTGTAGGTCTGTGTTTGTGGGGGGGGCAGGTGTGTGTGTGTGCTGCACAGATGGGACCCAGGTGTGTGTGTGTGTGTGTGTGTGTGTGTGTGTGTGTAGGTCTGTGTTTGTGGGGGGCAGTGTGCGTGTATTCTGCACAGATGGAACCCAAGGCTTCACCTCTACCACCAGTGAACTACACCCCCAACCTAAAACTTGGCCACTCTTTACAGAAGACAGTGAGAAGCAGGCTTCACAACTGGTCAGCGGAAAACCAGAATTTAGTATAAACAGTGTTTCCTGGGGTCTGATTTACCCACACTATAGCCCTGTTCCCTCTGAACAATGAAAAGCTGCTCATGGCTAGAGTTTCCAGGATACCCTGTATCTAGGACCCCTCCCTGCCTGTGTTGGAAGGCAAAGACACAATGAACACAACGTGGAACATGGCTGAGGGTTCCTTGGAATTATATCAGGGTGGGCCTGCTTCTTACACCGTTGAGGGTACCCTGGAACTATATCAGGGTAGGCCTGCTTCTTTTCCCTCAGCTTCTAGATGAGGATGCAGAGGCCAGAGAGTACCTACTATCCCCAGTGCTGAAGAAATCACATTTAAGAAATGAATATTTTTTAAAAAATGAATCTTTAGTCCTATCAATCTTGTTCTCTAACCATAGAAAACTATGCTTCCATCTAGAGTTGCTGGAGGGAAAATACGCAGCTCCACAGAGTCCCACAGTTCACAGAAACTGCTAACGCAAGGGATACAGGCCTGGTCTTTCTCTCTCCCCAAGTTCTGCTTCCCCCTCTAAGGGGGCCACAGATGGTGCAGTCACCACACAAGAGCTTGGATGGAGGAAAGTAGATCTCCTGATGCTTGCTGCCACATGCTACCCCTGGGAGTGGGAGCCCTGACTACCCCACCCCAGTTTTCCACAGTCCAGGGTAGTGCAGAGGGCTTCTCTCAGCTGGTCCCACATCACACTTTCCAGAGAAGCTGCCTTCTGTAGTGGGCACTGGCTGGAGGGAGCTGGAAGCCAGCCTAGGAAGAGGTTAACCAGCTGTGCAGGCCAGTGGAAACAAAGGCATGCTGGCAAGGGAAAGCCAGCAAGGGCCACTGTAATTTCTCCCTTTGGTTCTCTAAGGGCATTTCTGCCCAGCAGTTGCGTGTCCTCTAGAGCAGAGGAAGCAACCTGCCACTGCCCGTCCACAAACAACACACATCTCTCAGCAACCAGAAGCCTGCACACAGATACGACCTCATCTTTGCTTAATCCCAGCTCCAAACTCTTTCCACAGCAGATTTGGCTCGGGATCCACCCAACCCAGCTGGAAGATGGAGCTCCTAGGGAAAATGCGACGTGGCTGAGATTGTGCCCAGAAAGCAGGAGTCCTGGCTGCAGGGTTAGGGAAGAGCAGCAGCAAATGCTGAACCTAGTGCAGGTCGCTAAGGACCTCCCTCATTCTCCTAGCCAGAAGGCAGGTGTCACCTCTGTCGCATGTCCCTTAATCCACTCACTCACTTTTGCAGGAACTCCTCCAGCCCGCAGGGCTTGAGCACAAAGTCCCCCACGTCCACTTCCCTCAGTTCATCATGGGTGTAGCAGAGGGTCTGGTAGATGAGCAAGTCCACAGTGGAGGAACCTGTAAGCAGCAAGGCAGAAGAGCGAGGGCAGTGACATTGGGCAGGTCGGGCAGAGCCTCCCAACTTTGATCCTTTATCACCGGCTATGCCATCTGTAGTATCTCCACCAATAGCCAGATAAGACAGGCAAACAAACAGCCTGGGGGTGGGGAAAGTTACTGCCCGCCCCCCAGGAGAAGCATCCCCTCTGCCTCTCATTTACACTATAGAGTGAGGTGAGAATCAAAGCTAAAGGACTCCCCAGGTCAAAACCCAGTTGCTGTGGGACAAAGGTCTGTACCCTGTCGATTGTATTTTAATAAAATGCTGATTGGCCAGTAGCCAGGCAGGGAGTATTGGCGGGGCAACCAGGCAGGAAGTAGAGGCAGAGAAAAGAGAACAGGAGAATTCTGGGAACAGGAAAGACAGTCTGCAGTCGTCACCCAGACACAGAGGATGCAAGATGTGACTGCCTCACCAAAAATGGTACCAAGCCACATGGCTAACACAGGCAAGAATAATGGGTTAATGTAAGATGTAAGAATTAATTAATAAGAAGCCTGAGTCTCTAGGCCAACCAGTTTATGATTAATATAGATCTCTGTGTGTTTATTTGGGACCTGGTGGGACAGAAATCTCTTTCAACAAATGGTGCCCAACGTGTGGACAACTGCATCCACAGAAAACCTGAGAGAGCTTGAGAAGTAATTCTAGACACAAAATAACAGCGTTAAACATGGCTTCTTGATAGCAGCAATTTCTTGGGTTTGCTCTCTTTGCTAAAGGCAAGTACATCTCATTTAAGAGAGGCTTCCTGACTCAACTTTAGCTGCGAAACTTTGCAGCTCTTTTAAGAGGCCCTGCCACCAAACACTTAAATGGTGTTTATGAATAGCTGACAGCATGCTTCTTGGTGGTGTCAGGAACCTTGAAACTCCATAGAGTTGTGTTAATAAACATGGCTCTGGCCAGTACCTCTGCCATGAGACTAGACTCTCAGAAAAAGGCTAAGGAATGGGCTGGATCCAACCGTCAAAGCCACGGCTTTAATCCTAGTCATATAGTTTAGCAAATTAAAGACTCATGTAGTCAGAAAAAGATATACACAGTATAGATGGGGTAAGGAGAACAGAAGAATCCTGGGAACAGGAAAGAGGCAGTCTGCAGTAGTCACCAAGACACAGAGCAAGCAAGATGTGACTGTAGAGCCGAAAAAGGTACCAAGCCATGTGGCTAACACGGACAAGAATTATGAGTTAATAAGAAGCCTGAGATACTAGGCCAATCAGTTTATAATTAATGTAGATCTCTGTGTAATGATCTCTGAATCAACACCCAGCTCTCCCGCCTCACCTCCAGCGACACTCACATATCCCCAGCTAACTTACAGTTGCAGGTAAAAGTGAGCGGCTCCCGAAGACTCTCGCACAACACAGTCACCTTCAGGTTGACCTCATCCCCAAGATGCTCTGGACTCGGGGTGACAGTGCTCCAGACATATCCAGTTAGGGAATAGTCCTGGATATCAGAGCCTGTCCGAAGGCTGTATAGGAAGAAAAAGAGGACTCATGCTGTGTCTTCAAAGAATCCTGATGAGGGGCCCTGCGACCCTGAGGCCCAAGGGCTTTCCTGTCTCCTGAGCTTGCGCCCTCCTCCGTGGACCAGGCTGGGGCAAGGGGAGGCAGCCCTGAGAAGCTGTACTCTTACCATCTCGCTACAGTTGTGAAACAATCCCCACAGTCTTAGAAACTCCCAAAGGAGTTTCCCATATCAAGTTTAACAGAATTTAATCAATAAGTAGTTAGCAATCCATTTCCTCTCTCTTCAGTACAAGAGAAATCTTTTCTTCTCTGAGAGGTATGTTTACTCCTAAGGACAGCTGAGGGTCAGAACCTGAAGTTAGGCTGATCAAGGTTTGTGAATTTTACTAAAAATGTGCAAAATTCTAATTTTTTTTTTGTTTTGAGACAGAGTTTTACTACATGGCCTTAGCTGTCCAGGAACTTGTCAGGTAGTCCAGGCTAGGTCATAGAGATCTACCTGCCTCTGCTTCCCAAGTGCTGGATTGAGGGTGTGCACCACTATACCTAGCAAACTTTTGAGGTTTCATGAAAACCTGCAGAGACCTGCTGGAAAAGAGTTCCCACTCTGTGGAATTTTATTCATTATAGCTCTTCCTCCTTTCTAAAGGAACAGGCAGCCTCCTCCAGAGACTCAGAATCCTCTAATCACTCACTCACACACCATATGTACCCCTTCCCTCCCCTCATCTCATCCACGAACACACATCCACACTATACACACCTCCCTCTCCCCCCATCCCATCCTTCAACTCTTACATATCCAGCATGTGGCAAAACGCAGCAACTTCCTCATCTCTCTCCTCTGAGACCTCAAACAGTTCGTGGCCATTGGCGGTGGTGTGGGGCCGGGAGCCCACCTTTAAGGGAAGAGCAACTCACTCAGTGCTTTTTCTCTCAAGGCACCCCTTCTTTGCACGGCCTCCCAGATGTAAAGACAGTCCATGTATAAGGACTTTTGACTTAACATTGAAAGGAACTTGGAATACATTATCTGCCAACCTAGGACACCAAAGACTGAAAAAGGAGCTGAAGCCTGGGATGAGCATGGATGCTGGGCAGTGGACAAGAGTGGCCATATCTGCTCTGCGACGGGGACATGTCTGACCAGTCCAGTGCAGCCGACCAGGCAGTGTGTAACACAGTGCTGATGGTCACCAGTGGGCAAGGTCTTCCGGGGAAGGCTCCAGAGACATATGGGTGAGCTGAGGTAGGCCAGGCAGGTGATCAGCCAAATGGTCCCCAGTGAGGCCTGGACTTACACAAAAGCCTCAACATCCAAGGCCCTGGACACCAGACTCAAAGACTGAGCCCTTCAGGAGTGGGTATGATTCAGATGCATGTGCCTTCTCAGGAAGAAGACACATGTATCAAAGCACAATCTTCGGTGGAGAGGACCTGGCTGGACTCCTGTAGGCTTTGCTGGTTCTAAGCAGATAGGGATCCAGGCTGCCTGTTCGGACTGGCCCCATTTCCTCTCCCAGAACATACAAGTGGTGCTGAGATCCTTAAGCCAGGTCTCATACCATTTCCCATCCCAGGGGTGCTCTCAAACGCCCAGGAAACCCTCCAATGAGCTCCAGGGAGGAACAGCTAAGGAGAAAGCTGGTACTGACAGGCCTCACAGGCCTGCCCGGGGCAGCCACCCAGGAATGACACTTTGGCTCCATGGAGTTCCAGGCTGCATCCGGGAAAGACAGCAGGCTCTAACAGCTGCATTGGGGAGGAAAGGGGGTGTCTCTAAGGCTGTGGTTTGTGTGCGCCACCTCACCTCTCTTCACCCCCTCAGCTGTTCTCATGCTCTCCCTGTCCCTCAAGGCAGAAGGTAGCAACCCAGCTCCTCACTGAATACTCTGACTGCTTCCTCAAGTGTCCCTCCCTCTGGTCAGTCATGCTCCCCTGGGGGTGCGTAGAGTGGGGGCGGCAGCACATAAAGGGGAAGGCAGCAGTGGGGGCAGTTGGCATGTGAGGCCCTGGCTTTGCCAAGCGTATGCCTGTGTCCCAGTCCAAACAATAGTATCACTGTCAGCAATCAACCTATGCGAGAGAGTCAGAGAGAGAGAGAAGAGGAAGAGAGGGAGAGGGAGAAAACAGAATGGCCACTGAAGGCCATTCCATGCCCTTTCTGTACCACTCCCTGGCACTGTAAGAAAACAAAAGGCACTTACGTTTGCCCGGCTGGCAGGCCCTGGTGGCATCACTCGATGCTGGCCTGGGGAGTCTGCCAGGCAGAGGCTGGTAGCGGGGGTATCAGACTGGCATTTGGAGCCAGCCATTTGCAGAGATGGCTCAGTGGGCCTGGGATAAGAACGATCCTTCCGGCGAAGGCGGGGTGGGGGTATAGGCACAGAGCTCAAGGGGTTCCCCCTCCCAGCAGGTTGAGCCCCCGCCCCAATCTGAAGTGGGGAGGACCACTGCCGCGTTGCCTCCCCCACTCCAGAGCCGGCAAGAGCTTTTTGCTTCGCCCTTGCTTCTTCAAGGAGACTCCGAACCAGATCAGGCTCCATTTCGGTGCTCCGATGATGCATGATGGGGGAGGGAAGACAGGGGTGACCACCTACCCCAGGCTGCCTGCCTCTGTGAGCAGGCCGGGCTCTGTGTGAGGAACTGAGCTAAGGACATGACTCTCCCTGTCCCTATAAATAGCAGGAGCAGCCCCACCTCCAAGATGAGCCTTTAAAAAGCCTGAACTCCGGTGCTGCAGCTCACCCCGACTAGGCTCTGAGGGGTTTGCTCTGCAAATGCAGAGGAAGGAAGAAGCGTGCAGCTATGCAGAGTTGGAAGTGATCTCTAAGGCTGGACACGAGGTGGGAAAGCCCCAGCGCACTAAGACAATGAATGGTAAGGAAGGAGGAGGGCGGAATGAGGGGGCATAAGTAGCTTCAGAAGTCCGTAGCTATGAAGTAGCCTCCTGATTCATGGAGCAACGTGTCCAGAAGTCAGGGGTAAAAGCAAGGTGGCCTTCAGGTCCCACCTTTGGCGATACTCCTGACACTCCATGGACGGAAACCATATCAAGGCTGCTGTGGAAGCCAGCTGGGCTGAAGAGTAGACTTTGCACTTTATAATGTATACACATAAGCCAAAGCCTTACTATCATACTGCTGGGCCTTTTTCTAGGTATTTTCAGGGGGGAACGATGACCAAAAGTAAACACCCCCACAGTGCGACTGTACTTAACACCACTGAACTACACGCCTTTAAATGGTGGAAGGTGAGTGTTGTATCACAATCAAAAGCAGCGAGGAAGGGAAGGTGAGAGGGTGAAAGACTTTGGAACAAGCCCAGGGTCTAATACCAGCTCTGCCATTTCTTACATTGAACAGGGTTGATGTGGATCTGGATAGGGTATTCTGTGAGCATAGAACCAACAGCTAACACTACAGATGACCATCAGGGCCGCAGCTATGCAGTGGATGGCCGGGCAGGGCCTCAGGAGTAAGAAGCAGCTCAAGTCCCACTGCCACTATTCAGCCACAGAGTCAATGTTAAGTCAGGTGCCTCCTAAGTCAGTCCTTACATCATGAAGGAAGTACCTATTAACAGCCACGATACCAAAACACCTGCCCCCAGAAGGGCTGTTTCAACCAAGACACTGAAACTTAGCCTAGGAAAGGAGCCGGACCCTTCCTGATGTTCTTGGCCCAACCTCCAATAAGAAAGCCTAGCTTGGCTTCCTCAGAACCCCTACAAGCACCCAAGGATTTTAAAGGCAGAAGTAGAAGAGAGGACTAAAAATGGGCCTGTGAGTGCTTGGCAGATCTGAATTTGGAATGGCAAAGAGAACGTAGCCCACGTTCTGAACAAACACACAAGAAGGTAGGTCCTCACCGGAGCAGCAGAAATCCGGCGGTTCTTGCCAGGTGTCGCATTTTTTCGGTTGGCATATCGGGAAGTATAGGTTCGGGGCGGCACCTGAGGGGGCATTGTCTTGCTCCGAGCCACGGGTTTTCCAGAGGTGTCTTTGTTGAAGTCCAGGGGCCCCCGGCCCTCCTTCCAGCCCCTGGTAGCATCAGACAATATCTCTGAGTCATACGTTGACTTCAAGTTGAGCCTTGTGATTGCATCATTGATGCCATCATAGTCCACAGAGCCCAGCCTGTGTCGCTGTCCCCCACCATCAGGTAGCTCTTCCTCTTCTGCGTCCTGGGGTCCTAACAGTTTGTCAGGTGGCTGTTCCACCAAAGCAAAACTGTTGATGTCAGTGGACTGAGCAATCTTGGAGGGTGAGGGGGACCCCTTTCTGGGAGGCAAGGGAGGGGCATCCCAGAGAGAGACTCGAGGAGGCAGAGGAGGTGGGGATAGTTTCTTGCTTGAGCCACCTGTGTCGCCTGATTCTGAAGACAAAGAGAGACTCCCATCTGAGCCATCAAAAATATAGAGATAGTCTCCAGGTAGGGAGCCCTTGGGCCAGGGATCTGGGCCAGGCTGGGGATCTTGGGAGGTAGAGTTGGGAGGTTCTTCTTGTGGGGCAATGGAGTTGTAATTCAGGGTAGGGTCAGAGCCAGAAAGACCACGCAAGAGCTTGAGGTCTGTCCGCCTGCCTGCTGGCTTGCTGTAGAAGTCCAAAGCGGGCTCATCCCAGCTGATAAGAGAGGGCTCTGTGTTCTGCTTAGCCCTGCTCTCCTCCTTGTGATGGCGGAGCCGAGAAAGAGCATCGTACTCCATCTGCAGGGCTTCAGCCATAGCCAGTTCTTTGCGGCTGATGCCCACGGACTCCAGGGACTTCCAGTGTTCCCCATTGCCCTGAGTAGAAGACATGATGAGGGTGCGGGCACAAGAGACAACGAAGCCTTCTACTTCCTGCCAGTGTCAGGCCTGTATGGCTGGTACATGTTGTCTTGGGACCTGTGGGCAAGGGGTAAAAATGTAACTTAGTTACAAAGCAAGACTTATCAGTAATCTGATACTGTGACAATAGGTGACATAATCTAGGCCAGTACCCATTTCCTCAGTGCCGGCAACAGAAGCAAAGAACAGAAAGACAGAGAAAAGAAAGAGACACCAGGACAACTTTATTATCCCTATCCAGCCATCATTCTAAACATGTCTCCATCTCTGGTCCTAATTCCTATCCTTACTTCCACCACACATGCTTTGAGGAAAGAGTGAGGTACTGGGTTGATTTAACAAGTATTTGTTTGTTGTCAGAGAAGGGTGTGAATGCCATGGACACACAGGGAGATCAGAGGACAACTTTCAGGAATCATTCAAAAGATGAGAAGAATCATTTCATCAGCCAAGAGTAAAAGTAGAAAGCAGGGTCTCCTGAGGGAAAGAGGACAGCTGTCTAGGGGTGGAACTCAATGGCAGAGTGTCTGTCCAGCAGTCCTAGATTCCATTCCCAGCACTGCCTAAATGTTTTTCAAAAATGGATGGTAGCTGGGGGCAGTGAGAAGGTTTAGGAATAAAAGCACTTCCAGAACAATCCTGCTGAGCTGGGTTTGATCACCAGAACTCACTACGGAAAGAGAGAACCAAGTACTGAAAGTTGTCTTCTGACTTCCACACACCCGCTGGGGCCTGGCACACACACTCACACATATTCCAATTACATGTGCACACAATAATAATAAAGTTAAGTACCTTTTAATTAGAAGGGGAGGGCTTCTAGTGACAAGGCATAGGGGCAGAACATTTACCAAGTAGGTGTGAGGCCCTAGGTTTGATCCCCAGTACCACACAGAAAAAAATCAAACCAGGCATGGTGGCACATGCTATAATCCAAGCATTCAGGAAGGAAAGGCAGAAACCAGGAGTTTGTAGCCAGTCTGGGTGACATGGGAGATGTTTCAAAACAAAGGTTAACAAAAAAGGGGCTGGACAGATGACTCAGTGGTTGAGAGCACTGGCTGCTCTTGGGAAGGACCCAGGTTCAGTTCTCAGCACTCATATGGTGGTTCACAACCATTGGTAACTCCAGTTCCAGGTAATCCGACGTCCTCTTCTGTCCTCCAAGGACAGAAGACACATATGTGGTGACATATATACACCAGGCAAAACAGTCATACACATACAATAAAAAGACATAAATCTCAAAGTTAAAATTAGCAAAGAAAAGAGGCCAGCTCTCATTCACTCACACACAGCTAGTAGGAATGTAAAATGGCAGGGTCACCTTGCAAACTAGGCAGGCTCTGACAGAGGGAAACACATGTCTACCTACGACTCACCTATTTATATACACAGAGGCACAGCCTTGTACGCAGTGGTTAAATACAGAGCTGAGGCTGTAGCTATCAGTAGGATGGTTGCCTTGCACGCACAGGTTCTGAGTTTGGTACCCAACACTACAATCAATTAACTGTTCAGCACTGCAAGTAAATAATAGTAAGCCTCACGTAGTAAACATACAAGTTTTGCTTATAATATCTCCAAACTAGAAATGACCCAAATGTCTATCAGCAGATGAATGATTCTCTTGAAAATGTGCAACATCTGGGTAGGGACTGAGGTTCAGATAGTAAAGGGCTTATCTAGCATATACAAAGCCCTGGCTTTGACCCCAGAAACACAGAAAACCAGGTGTGGTGACACACGCCTGTGATCCCAACACTCAGGAGGTAGAAGAAAGATCGGAAACTCAGGGTCCATCTAAGCTACATCGAGACTGTCAGGCAATGGTGACGGATGACTTTAATCCCAGCACTCCAGAGGCAGAGGCAGGCGGATCTTTGAAGGGCAACCTGGTCTACAGAGCGAGGTCCAGGACAGCCAGGGCTACACAGAAAAACCCTGCCTCGAAAGACACAAAACAAAACAGTTCAAGGCCAGCCTGAGCTGCATAAGACCCTGTCTCAAAGCAAAAAGTGATCCATCTACATATGTATGGTTGAATGCTACTTAGCAATGAAAATGAATGAATTAGTGATAAGTGTAAAATCATGGATGAGCCTCGGATTAACTCTGTGGAATAAAATCTGCCAGACAAAGTGTATGTGTATGCATCATCGCATTCATGGGACATTTCTGAAGATGCAAACTGAGCGACTGTGAGGAAAAACAGATGGATGCTGATCTGGGGAAGGAAGGGGAAGGGGAAGGCTTACCATGAGCCATACGGGAGCTTTGGGGAGCAATGAATATGCTCATTATCTTTTTTTTACTTTTCTCCCCACCACTCCCTTTCTGCAGAGATCACAGCTATGGCCCGTGCATGCTGGGCAAGCACTCTACCCCTGAGCTACGGCTCCAGCCCGTTCATTATCTTGCCAGTAGTGGTGATTTTGCCAGTGCGTTCATATGCCAAACGTATGTTGTACACTTTAACTAGATGCTGCTTACGACATGTCAATTAACCCCCAGCAAAATAGACGTGTACAACACAGCTCTACTTAGCAGACTTTATAATTACTCAGAGTTCAACAACAGGTGAAACTCAGTGCCTGGGTATGGATCCGCCAAAATATTGATCCTCAGCCCTTAGGAAGCCAGATAGGAAGTTCAGGTCAGATGCCTTTAGTGCAGAGAGCCTGCCACTGACTTCGAGGTTGGTACCTTCTGTATGAAGCCATACATGAAAAGAGTTGGGAGGCACTGATGTAATACACGTAATGACAAGGTTCGTCTGTCCTGTGGTCCTCAAGCTGTAGCTGAGAAGCACAGTGCGACTGTTCACAGCTACCAAAGCCCACGCACTCGTGATTGGTTCTGATTTCATTGGTCCGCAGTGGGACAATGGTTATTTAATAAAAAACAAATAAAACAACATACCAGGAGATCCTCTGTGTGCCTGTGGTTGGGAGTGTGAGAGCAGTCAGTTCTTCAGCAACATTGGGAAGTTCACGGTCTCACAAAAATACCAGCTATCATTCATTCTGTAGGACAGCTTCGTGCAGGGGGTAACAAACCCATGCAGCATGCAGCATGTCATTTATTCCTCTTGATCCCAGAGTTGAAAACAACAGTAGAAAGGTGTTTTTGTTCCTCTCTTTTTTTTTGACCCCACCCCCATCTGTCTCTAACTCAGGCAGGCTAAAGACATAGCTGAAAATAACTTTGAACTCTTGATTTTCCTGCCTCTACCTCCCTAGCACCGGAATTACAGGTGTGTGCCACCACGCCTAGGTTAGTCTAGTCACAAGTGTGTATGTGTGTATGTGAGAGAGAGAGAGCGAGAGAGAGAGAGAGCAGGGATGGAAAGTAGGTCTTCATGCATGCTATGAATATGCTCTACCACTAAACCACATCCCGAGTCCTTGAGTGGCAAGTCCCACTCAACTCGAAATAGGAGACAGGTTCACCTTCATTCAGCTCAGGTGCCCTTCTAGGACCCTCTCGAATTTGGCAGACACAGGTCAGGACCCTGGCCAGAGTCGTGGTTGGCTGTGAGAGGTTGTGATTTCTATTGCACTTGGCAGGTCCCCAAAGACGGACTAGCCCAAAGCGCCTGTCTGCCCTTCACCTGCTGACCTCCCCACCCTTCCACAACTCTTTAAAAGTTACTTTTGACCCACAGGGCAGGGTTGGGGGTGGGGATACTGACGTGACTTCAGGAACAGGGCAAGATAGACAGGCTTCCTTGTCCAGAGATGGGATAACAGTACCCTAGTGTTTTTACAGATACAAGACACTAGAAAAAAGCTCAATGTATATTACACTGTATTACAGAACTATACCGCAGTCCAGGTTAAGATTCTTAATCCAGAAGGTGATTGTATTTTCAGCCCTGAGCTGGGACAAGCAGAGTGTTGAAATTTGCCTTAGCCGGGCACCACTGTGAAGTTAGAAAACTAAGGCCATGGACAACAGCTCCCCAGCTTCCGCCTCTTCCCCCACTATCCCATCCACACTTGCATTCAGCCCCCCTCTACCCCATCTGGTCTCCTACTGGGCACAACTGACTTCTCATGCCCCACCCACTTGGTCTTCTGCAGGATAACGTCCTTGGGTCTCAAAGGTCCCCTCTCCCCTAGTTTCAACCTCTTCCCCACTGGGTTTCACAAGGGTGCATAAGCAGTGCCTCTTCCAACTTTAAAAAAAAAAACAAAACAAAACAAAACTACGGCCCAGACTCCCTTGGCTTTAGCTTCTCTCGGCTCTTTCTTCCATTCTCAGCCAAGCTTCAAGGAAGAGTGGACAACACCTAATGCTCCCTTCCCTGTCCTCTCACTGTCATGTGGGTCTGCTCCCACTAAAGCCACTCCTGAAATACCGTGGCTGCCCAACTCAGAGGGATTCCCATGTGTCCAGATATCACTTGTCCTGGTCCACTCGGCTCTCTAGAACATCCCCTTCTTCCCCTGTCCTCTGCCTGGGACACTATTTCTATTTATTTATTTACTTATCTATTATTGTGTGTGTACGTGTGTGCACGCACATGAGCACGCATGCACATGCGCACATGCCGCAGTGCGTGTGTGAGGGCCTGAGGGCAACTTTCAGGAGCTGGTTCTCCCCTCACCTTTGTGTAGGTTCTAGGCCTCAAACCTAGGCCACCAGGTTTGCACAGCAGGGACTTTAACAGCTGAGCCAGCTCATGGGACTCACAACTCACAATTTCCATGTTCTCCACCTCCATCTTTGTCTTCCTCTCCCTTTACATAGCCTTCAACCATTGGCGTTGACTCAAACCTCCAGGCTCAGCCTGCTGCTCACTTCTCTTTCCTCTGTGCACAGTCTCATCTACTCCCATCTCCTGTCTATCCCGCCTCACGCTGTGGATCCCTCCTTCATTTTAGGTGATCACCTGCACCTCAAAACCCAAACGATCAAACCCAAACCACCATCTCCTCTCTTCCCTATGCCCTGCTCCCATTCCTAGCCCCCACTGAACGGCACTACCCACTCCTCCCAGGCTAGAAGTCCTCCAGCCGTCCTGAAAGCCCTCCTCTCCATCTAAAGTCCAT